ACCAAACTCAAAACTCCTTCCTGTCAGGGGCACGAACGTGAAAGGTCGCTTTGCAAGAGGACTTCAGTTGGCACCATTTTCAGAGTCAAACGGCTCCTTACTTCAGGGTGTGTGTGCCCCACAGCCATAGACCAAATAATGAACACCTGCATCATTTGAAAAAGACCTGGGTGTCCTGAGACTTGAATTAGAGTTTGTTAGTCACTAGTTCTAACCAGCTTAACGTGTCCATATGGTTGAATGGCTCATGAAATAATTGTGGCCAAGTGCTGTTTAACCTCTGTTACAAATAACGTGTTTTGGTGGGTGAGTTGGAAAAAGCTGAATTTGGTCACTTTTAATAGTGTAAAAGTCAGAGGGTGGGTGAGTTAATGTAACCTGCAGGTAGGTTAAACTCACCTGCTCACACTCAAGGAGCTGTTCATTAAAATGGGGTAAAATAGGTATGAATTACACAGGGAGAACCAAGATAACCTTAATTTTGGTTTCCTTAGTGCCTAGCAGAGTGCCTGGCATACAATACCTGGTAAACTTTTGTTAAACGATTTGTTGAATGAATAAAATTGAAGGATGTATTTACTAAAATGCTAAATTCTCCAGTAGAGAGTTCAGTGTCTATGGGTGTGCCAGGGAGAAGGGGGGGTCCATTGACTAGGATGGGGGATGGAAGCGCAGCGGCTTGAGCTGGGCACTGCAGGGAGTGAGAACAGGTGAGGAGAAGCAGCAGGGCAAACCTGGCAGTGGCAGGCGGGGAGAGGCGACGGGCAGTGCATGGTGCCCAACCAGGGCACCAGGTGCAGTGTGTGTCCAGGAGTAGAGGGAAATGACTCCGACTCTGGGGGCCCAGGCAGAATTTATAAAAACAACAGAAAACACTGGTTACAATGGCCCTGAATGTGTAGAGTTTGAGTATTATAGGTCAGTTGCAATAGCATAACTCGCTACTACTCTCTACATACTCGGCTACCCCACGTGCCCTCTGCGGACTCCGCTACCCGCACATACTCTTAGGCACTCGCTACCCCCGCGTGCCCTCTGCGGACTCCGCTACCCGCACATACTCTTAGGCACTCGCTACCCCCGCGTGCCCTCTGCGGACTCCGCTACCCGCACATACTCTTAGGCACTCGCTACCCCCGCGTGCCCTCTGCGGACTCTGCTACCCCCACATACTCTTAGGTACTCGCTACCCCCGCGTGCCCTCTGCGGACTCTGCTACCCCCACATACTCTTAGGTACTCGCTACCCCCGCGTGCCCTCTGCGGACTCCGCTACCTGCACATACTCTTAGGTACTCGCTACCCCCGCGTGCCCTCTGCGGACTCTGCTACCCCCACATACTCTTAGGTACTCGCTACGCCCGCGTGCCCTCTGCGGACTCTGCTACCCCCCATACTCTTAGGTACTCGCTACCCCCGCGTGCCCTCTGCGGACTCTGCTACCCCCCATACTCTTAGGTACTCGCTACCCCCGCGTGCCCTCTGCGGACTCTGCTACCCCCCATACTCTTAGGTACTCGCTACCCCCGCGTGCCCTCTGCGGACTCCGCTACCCGCACATACTCTTAGGTACTCGCTACCCCCGCGTGCCCTCTGCGGACTCGCTGCCCCCGCGTGCTCCGATTCTCTCGGGATTGCCCCTTCCCTCCTCTGAAATGCCTGGTGTGTGTAGGAATGAATGGTCCCATGCACTCACCTGCTGTAATAATGCAGAAAGGAAAACAATGTGAGGAATAAGATCTGAAACTGAACCTCATCGAAGAAAATACATGAGAAGTTTTATTTCTTCACGGGGCAGCTGGATCCAGCTGCAGAAGCAGGTCATTTCCTGTTCCCATCACGGAAACATGTGAGGTCGGAAACTTCTCTGATTCGTTCAAGGACAACAGACGAAGTTACAGAAATATTTCCTTGCATCAGGTCTGGCTTTTAGAGGGAGGAGAGGGATGGGCAGTGTTTTGATTTTTATACCATTCCCAAATGTTGTGCTAAAGAAAATTGGTAAGTATTTCTTGATCAGAATAAGGTTGTAAATGAAACAACTAATCAAAACCAACACCTTTGGTTTTCATGTCAAAAGGGGAGAAGAGTTATCTCGCACTTGCCCCGGGCAGGGCCTCCGGTCCTGGGTGATACTCACGCCGGCGGCTCTGGCAGGACTCTCCTAAGACCAGCGAGAGGGAGGCACCGCTTCAAGACGGTTTGGATTGGGCAGGCCAGGGGGTGAGGGTTGATGACCTCCAGCCACACAGCGGCTGACCATTGCCTTTATGTTTTCTGTACCTTGTCAACATATCAGTGTATCTGCTGCAGGGTGAGTTCTAAGCCTTTCTGTCTCGCTTTGGGGATAAGAAAAAATCCACGTCGTGACTGCCCCGTCCCTTTACACATTCATACACTCCAATCGATTTCAGGAGAGAAAAGCTCACACTCACGTGCAAGTGTGTGACAGTGATTCCTTCAGACCACGTGGGGATTCCAACCTAATGAAGATGTGATATACACAGTAACACATAACAAAGGGATTTACTGTCAAAATGTTTATTGTAAAATGGAGTCTTAAAACAAAGGAAAGCAAAGTTCACATCAAAATGAAATTCATGACACCAACTTGGATTTCTGAATACACTGTGGACTCTGGAATATCAAATTCCAACCACGAAGTCAGTAACTGAGTCGTCTTACCACAGAGGAGTAAAATTTAATCTTCCATACAAACATTACATAAGATTTTGGCATAGGACTCGCTCAGAATAACATCGCAATAGAATAATTGAGAAAAAACTTTGTTTAAAAAAAAAACAAAACAATAAAGTGATAATGCCATCTACTCAAAGCTTCAAAGATCACACTCAAAGAATATAAATATTTTCTATTATTTAGTACAAAATTTTTAAAACAGTGTAAAAGCAATATGTGCAGTGTATTGGATCTGACACAAAAAGATATATTATTCTGCACACAATGTAAAATAATTAATGTAGGTGCTTGCAACTCTACTTTGAAGTAAATAATCGCATGCCAGAAAGCTCCTCACAGGCAACAGAGTGCAAATCAGCTGGAGCCAGAGGAAACGTGGCCCGTCTTCCAGATTTCCTGGGAGACACTCATTTTCCATCACAGAAAGGCAGCATCTAGGCTGTCAATGCTACAGTCCAAAGAACAGAATAGATTCTTCTCTCTGGCAATGCTTACAATCTAAGCAGAAAACCAATTTTACTCAAAAGCAGCAAAAGGTGCCTGATTATAGAAAAATGTACGCTCTGTTATATATGTGGTTTGGTGAGACTGCTCATTTCAAATGGCTGCAACAAGTCTAGTGTATAAAAAATATTTAAAGTATCCATATTTAACTTGGAATATGTTTTAAAATGATCTTTCACAAAATTCTTACCACTCCAATGAAAACTCTAAAAATAAAGTTATCTATATCATAGTGTACAGAAGTCATTCTGCTCTCTCCCAAACCTTCTCCCACCCCCACCTCCCTGATTTCAATGGCGATCAAGTGAATTCTCAGCTGGTCTGAAAGTCTAATTTGCTGCATGTTAAAAATCACTGGCTAAAACCCGACCTTCAGCAGTTCCACAACATCAAATACAAGAGTGCTATGAGCCTGCAACTTCTTGCCATTGTTACTTGCGTTAAATATTACATCGTAATTTTGCTAACAACAACAACAACAAAAAAAACCACCTACCAACCAACCAACCAACGAAACGACAATGATTGGTAGGAAAAGGGCCCTTTTAAATGAACCTGGCTACTTTGTAGAATTGTAGCTACCTCAGTGATGCTTTTCTTTTGTTATTGTGGCATCGTTATAACAGGAGAGTAAACTTAGATGTTTCATAAAGTTTCCACAGCATTCTTATGAGGAAAGAACCCATTTCCACAAGTAGGGATTTAAGATAAATGCCACAAACCTACAAAATTCAGATTGTGTAATTCTGAAAATGCATCTCTTGACTTGGGTGATTTTGTTTGGGGGAAAAACTAGATATGGAATTCTAAGACTGCCAAGTTTAGCAAGCTTCTCAGTGGAAGAAGGAACAATGGGTATTTGGGATGGAATTCTCTATTAGGGGCAACTGTCCCTGACATTCGGGATGTTACCATTTTTGGCACTGGGCACTAAATACACCCCCAGTCACCATGACAAACAAAAATATGCCCCAGCACTCCCAAACACCATTAGGTGACAGCACTACCTTGGCTAAGAACCACTAGTAGGGTACCACCAAATTCTACATGATCATGTGGAATTTAATGAACAAACTGAACTACCAAGTAAATGAGAGACACACTCAGATACAGAGCAGGCACACAGCTGGGGGGGCAGGGGGTGGAGGGATTGAGCAAAGAAGAAAAAAAGAGAGAACTCATGGACACAGACAACAGTGTGGCGATTGCAGGGGTGGAAGGGGGTGGGTGGAGGTGGAAGAGGGCATAGAGGGGATAAAAGGTGATGGGAAAAATTAAATTAAATTAAAAATTGAAGAAAAAAATAGAAAAAATTTTACATGATCAACTTTATGAGTAAAGAAAAAAAGTGAAAAAGTAGTATATATTTAATTTTATGGCTCTGACAATTATTACTACAATTTCGAGTTTCAATTCTCATTTTGAATCTTCAAATTTCATTATTTCTTTCTCTTTTCTTATAAATGTAAGTCAAATAATTGGAAATAAATTCAATAATTTGCCATTCCAAAAACTAATCTGAAAAAGGAATTGGAAGGTGCACAATTAACATCAGCATGAGCTTTTCTGCATATGGATGATAAACATTTCTTTTGAAAATTAATAAAACTAATAATAGAGTTCAAAGTCTTCTAATCTTCACACTGGTCTCATTCACTTTAAAATGACATTTCTATATATGTATATGTAACCATGGACATAGACAACAATGCTGGGGACAGGGCTGGGGGCGGGGATCGGGAAGAGGGTATCAATGGGGGAAAAAGGAGAAACATGTAACAAAAATACATTAAAAAAAAAGTCAACAAAGACGCAAAAAAATAATAAATAAATAAATAAAATGCTGTTTCTATGATTCAGGTTTCAGGGATATTCAAAACCCTAGAAGATACTGCTTTGGAACAGAGAGTAAAACAGCTGATGCCCTGTGGGAACTACAGCCCAATTCTTGGTAGAGAACAGTTTTAAGTTTATCACCGAGGTTATCAATTCGTTGTATCCTAAATCTGTATAGTTCCTTGATGGCAGAACATTGAATTATAATCACCTCTGGAATATTGGTGGGAAATGGCAGGGATGGAAATATTCCAGAAGTATTATCTAGTTAATGGTAAATCTGGGCCTGGGTACAGAATCCTACTACCTTCTCTTTTGGCCCTATTTGGCTGTTTTTATTAATGCAGCAAAACTTTATGTATAATCATAATAGATATATATGTAAAGGGAAAATGTCAGTTTCATTAAGTTCATCTGTCTGTTTTAAATTTATTGCTGATTATTCCTAAATGAGGGGCAAGGTTTACATTCTTACATAAAATGCACAGATCCCAAAATTAGCCCACAGAGATTCCTTTATCAGTGAGGCCTTTCCTAACCACACATGAAAACACCTCAACATTCCCTATGGGCCTTCTCCTCCCTCCCTCCTTCATTTGACAGCACACACTTATCCCAGGTTTTCATTCCATAAAATATATTAGTTTTGTTTAGTGTTGATCTCCACAGTGCAAAGATTGTTGTCTAGTTGTTCCCTGAAACAGTACCTGGCACAGAGAAGGGGCTCAATGAATGTTTGTGGAATGAATGGCTTTATCTTTGCCTGGTAAAATGTGCAAGAGGCTTTTAAACTACCGTCTTGAGCTCTTTCCTTCAGGCTGCTAAGCCATAGTGTCGCAGGGCATGCCGGGAAGTCAAGAGGTGCAAACCTTCTGCTCTACTCTGAGATTTTTCTGCTTGAGTGGCCTGGCTTGAGTCAGGGAGTAGACAGGACGCTTATTTAAGTGTATGTCAATTTGTCACCAGCACTATATTGTGGTGTGCGTGTCTCTGTATCTATGTATCAGATTGGGTATGTGAGGAACCCCCTTTCTAAGTGAAAGACTTACCTACTCTTTCTGTATCTACTTAGTCTGTGGGTGGTAGCCTTAAAGGCCGACAGAATTCATCTATTGCTCACACTCTTCCCTGAAAGCAATCAACTTTTAATTTCATCTCATACTAAACAAATAATCACTTGATGTCGCTAGTTTATTTTTCCAGAAGGTTACTGAAACCACTCATTTTTCAGTGTCTTTTCACTGGCATCATCACAGCAGCTAACATTAACTGACTGTTTACATGGGCGTGGCACCGAAGTGCTCTCTGTGTATTGTTTCATCTTCATCGTCATAATAATAGTAATAATCTTCATAATAGTTCTTTGAAGTAGATCTATCATCATTCCCATGTTAGAGATGAGCAAACAGACACAAAGAGGTTAAATCATTTGCCCAAATTTATTTGTTATTTTTCTCCAAATAAAGCTGGAACAGTGCACAGATCATTTTGTGGGTATTTTTCAGCTCTTAATAGGGTTAGAGGCACGCCATGCTTCAAATTCCAAGAGGCTTTTTACGATCAAATATACTTGAAAATAGTATTACTATCTATGATGATGTCCTTTCTTAAATCTTCCATAAAAAGAATCACCAAAAGGACTTTGATTTACTAGTCAAATGAACAGTGCTGTTCTCTAATTTAGGCTGGAAAAAAAGTCTTTGTTCTTTTGCCTTTTTTCATAACTACAAATGTCCTGTAGTTATTTTTTTAAAAAACGGTGTTTTATAGTTTAGACAAGCTTTGACAAATATGTGATAACATTTGGAGCATCTCTGGCTGCCCAGGATTTTACAGCAGCACCCACACCTCCTTCCCTCTGGCTCCAGCATCCTTAGTCAGGGTTCAAAAGAGACAGCCTGGAGGGCTACATTTCCTATCAAAAGACCCTTCGTCTTGTACGTTTGCCTAAGTAATGAAAACTTATCTTTGCCGGTCCTTTTATAGTATTTATTTCCTTCTTAAAAAAAAATCTATCCATATGTTGAGAATCCAAGATCATCAGGCCTCTCTGAAACACACACACACACACACGTGCTCTCACCGGAAGTGCAGAGCGGGCCTGTGGCAAACCTCACACTGCCGAAGTCCCCTCGCAGACCACATCTCTCCCTGTATAAAGGAAGGGGTAAGGCTTGGATGACAGTGTGTTGCTGTTAAGAAGCTTCCAGGGCTAGCACTGGTTGGAAAGCCTGTGACATCTGCTGCTGTTTTCAGATTAGAGTCTCTCTCCTTCAAATGTGCTATGGAGAAGAACATCTCTCAGGTCTCACTTTGAAAGGTTGCGCTATTAAATATTGAAAATTCTCGGCATTTAGGTACTTCTGAAGAAGTATTTGTGACATCCTTCTTTCATCTCAATTTTTTTTAATTGTTGGATTTTGTAGTCACTATCAATCGTTTCTGATAGTACAGTGTATTGCTATAAAAAAAAAGTAGTATGTAACAAGAAAATCAAGTGTCAAAGAAGATTAGGAGTTAAGAGTGCTTGTTTAAAATGTAAGTTTTCTTAAGCAACTGAATAAATGAAATCAAGTAATCAAATCAAATACAAGCTATAAAATATTCATTAAATAAAAAGCCAGCACGTCATTAGCTAAAAATACTATATTGTATATGGAATCACAAATTTCTATAATCAGGCACCACATTTGCTGATTCGTATACCTTTTGGCTTGACCTCCCCCGACCCTCCCATTTTTCTGTAAGCAAAAACAAATCAAAAGTAAAATCAATTAAGAAATGACTGTCACATAAATGTAATTGGCCTACAAACGCAATGCTTGGTTTTCTACCTCCTTCCTGGTTTTTGTACAGACTGAGATAACAAGTTTATTTTGTTTTTCCAAACATTTTCCATTTTATTACTTTGCTTTCTGCTTTCATTCACTATTATTATCCATGTCATTATCCTCCTCATCACCGTCATCATCATCATCGTCACCTTCTGACAAGTCAAAATCACTGAACCCCAGGGCCATGTTGACCTTCTTCCCCTTTCTCTTAGATGTGGTTTTGGAAGAATTCTGCTTGGCTTGCATGTTTATCTGCATCCCAGAATGCAGCACAGCTCCTGCTTTGTTCATTGAGAAGATATCCCCAAAGCCCATCAGCATCATGGCCTGCAGACTTGGGTTCATGCCATGGCCCTCCCCGTTACTTGTTGCTGTGATCTGACATGACATCTCTGCACTGTTTGACTCCTCTGTCTTAGATTCAAAGTAAGACTCCTCAGACATTCTTGCAGCAAGAGGCAAGAGAAGCTATCACAAGGGAAGAAAGGACAGAAGTAAAAAGAGAGATTAGGACCAATTTAAATAAAGGAAACAGATACCACAAAATTAGCGGGCACTGCACAGAAGGTAAATGATGAGGGAAAATAAATGAATGTAGGGAATTATGTGAGAATTTCTTTATTGGCACATCAGGCTCCAGGATATTTGCCATAATTCATAAATGACAGAATAAATCACAACCACAAGTTTGCAAAGCACTGTAGCAAGCCAAATTTCACACGGGAAGGAAATTGCAAGCTTTAAGCCCTCTTTTTGCGTAAAACAAAATAGTTTTTAGGACTTCTCTTAATTTTTTCCAATTTCACTTTCACAGATCATATTAAAAAAGAATTAAGTAGAGATGAAATCTCAAGTAAAAATCAAGAAACCTTGTACCAAAGAAGAAAAGCTTAGAGGAAGCGTGAAAACAGCTCAGCAGTCAATATAGTTCTAAAAAATGTGGGCATTCATTACTTTTTTTTTAGCTAGATTAGTATCTGACTCTAAACTAAAAATGAGGCCAGAAGTCACTTGTTTCCATTTGTTACTTATTACAGCCAGATGAGATATAATACTAGTTATTTGATTTATGAAATAATTTAGTTGTGAACAAATTCCAGATTCTGTCTCTAATATTAAACAAGTACATACATAAATACATGGGAAAATTGGGAGGAAAGGAAACTACTGTTAATGTAGATTGTTATTCTCTATTCTCGACTATATAAGTTTTCTTCTTCCAGCATAATTTTATTTCTAGGAATTCTCCTTCTCACAGTGGATACAGACATTTATTTTCTACCTTATGTAATTATTTTGAACAATCAGCCTATTTCCATAAATGTTGGTCAGATTAGTTTTGGGAGTAAAACTGGCTCTGAAAAGCGTGACTAACTCTTTTGTTGGGAAATAAGCAAATTAAAGCTTATATTTTTGGTGTTGTTTAAATATGGGTAAATTTATGACAAACATTGTACAAATATATTACTGTGGGGTGACCTTTATATTCTGGGTGTAAAGATACTTTTTGGGCCAATTTTCTAATTTTTAAATTAAAGCTGGAGCCGAGTTTTTAAAAATATTCTACTCTATTAAGAAAAGACTTCTGAAGTTGTTAATAAGAACTTCACCTAGTTCAGCTAAAAAAAGTACCAACTCCATTGAAGAAAGAAACTGCTTTAGATCCTCTAACACTGGAGACTCGACATTATTTCCCAGCTTCACGAATTTGTTTTTCAATTGTTAGATGCTCTCGGGAAACTCTTTGTTGCTTATTTATTTTATTATCTCATAGGTCCTTCCTCACAGTATGTTAAGATCTCAATAAATGTCTCTCAAATAAGCTTTTACTCTTAAAAGAAATGTTTTCTACACCAAGCTACAATAATAATTAAAAAATAAACGTTCATATTTATGTATGGAGAATTCATCTCCCCAAATATCTTTAACTCATGTTTTAATTTCAGGGAGGAAAATAACGTCCTTCCTTGAAATAAATCCAATAATACAATTTTAAATGACATCTGTCGATGTTAAACTTCTATAATTAAGACGAGGTTACCTACAGGTAACTTAAACCTCCAGCCACTTCCTTTTCAAAAGGTCTATTTTATCTTTCTCTCAGAAGCCTCATTGAAAGTCATCTAGAAACTGATGTGAGGATTAAAAGAAAATACCTACTTACAAAACACCTGCGCACAAACTTCCTCTCCTTCAGAATCCCAGCTCTGAGCAGGAGACATGAAAAGCAAGCGTGTGAACATGCAGCCCAGTGAGAGGCGAGGGCAGGAGCCCCACTGCGGCCGCTGCTCTCGGGGAAGCTCCTTTACAGAAAGTTTCTGCAGTCGACATGCAGCATACAACCCGCTGGGCACGCACAGTGCTCCACTCTTTAGGACACAACTATGTTACTAACAATAGCAAGAATGTGTGCCAGGCAGCCCATCACTTCTTAGCAAAATGAATGCCAACAAGCCGAAGGTTCTAAAGCGAACGCTAATAGGTGGTTTGAAGTTTTCCTTACAATGCTACATTTAGGGTCCAGCATGCAATGCTTTAGAGCTTAAGATTTCAATGTATTTAAAAAAACACACACACAGAAAAAACCCCAAAACCAACTCAGGAAGACGGCCACATGCCTGCCTCTCCTGAGCTGGGGAAAGCAGTGCTCCCTTCCGGGGCCCTGGGAACACTTTCTGGGGCTGCCTGTGGGCTGAGTTCCACCAGGACAGGAAACTCCCCTCGACTTCTTTCCTGGGAGCCAAGTTAAATTCGCTGAATTTATATAAAATGTGGTACCTTTTTAATACCCATGATAGTCATGTATAGCAATTCAGTTCTTACTCTGGGATGCCTTGAGGAACCAAAGTCATTTCTGAAAAGTTAAATCTGATCATAAACATTTATCTTCATTGTGTTTCCCCTTTTTTGGGTATCAGGTTGCTTCTCCACGTAAATGGGAAAAGGAGGCAAACTGTTTTATTCTTTAGACACTGGGAAATACTCTGCAACTGGGCACTGGCTGCTTAATGAAGATGAAGACTTTTAAAAATAGAAAAGCTTTCTGAAGATCACAAAGTGAAGGGCATTTAAGGTTTTTGTTTGTTTGTTTGTTTTTTTGTATAGTTGCCATACTAGCTATCAAGAATAAATTTAAAATATATAACAAATATATTTTTAATCTTACCCTTACTTGTGATTTTCAAGTGGACAAATATGACCCATTAAAAACCCTGGAAAAACTAATAATAAATTTATACTTCATTTCCAAAAGTGATAAATCTTTTAAAATAGAAAAGAATGCTGAATTTTGATTAGACTTTCAATATATCATGTCAACATATAAGCTCAAGGTAAGTGTACAAATAGCAAAATCCTTACAAAGAATTTTTATCGTCCTTGAATTATACGGCTCGGAATAAACCGAGATATCTCCTAATTGTAATAAATATTGGAAGCTTGTCCGGAGAGAAGTTCATTTCCAGTCTTTTACTGCCCATGATCATACCGCTAAATTGAGTAAGGAACATTAGTGCTCGTCATTCATCTGTCATTAAATTAGCTCTCTTTTAGAAGAAAAACTTGGTTAAGTTCTGACACATCACAGGCTTTCTTAGACAACTAGCTGCCTCGGTGTTACATTAATTAATTCATGAACTTTAAAGAGTTAAGCAGCATTGAGACACATGTTCTGGGCTTCTAGCAGATGGTGTGAAATATACATTGGGTTTTATTTTTGTTATTCTAATATATGAACACACTGACAGAACAACAGTTCTTAGGGACAGAGCAGAGATAGGATAATCTTCTAAATTTCTGACACTGTTAATTGAAGTGAGATATGAACTCTACTTGAGCATAAGTGTGCGCCCTTTAATACACGGTGTTAGGCAGGAAGGGAGGGGGTGGCAGAGGGAGGCAGGGGTCGCCATGCGCCATGCTCAGCCATGTCTTCTAAGTGGGGGACGGGTTAACCAGGCGGGCACACTCACCGGGGTGTTGGACTGCTCCGTTAGTTTTTGCTCCCACATCTTCAGACGTCTTTCTCGTTCTTTCAGCTCCTGCTCTTTAAAGCTGAGATCACGCTCTAGTTTCTTCAGCCTCTCAAGAGTTGCTTCAATTTCGCACCTGCACAAGGATAACTGGTTTCAGTCTCAACGTGGTCCATCCGAATGCTTAATCAAGGTACAAGGCTAAAATGTGTGCTCTTGAACCAAACGGCAAACTATCAGATTATAACAAATCTTTCATAGCCTTCAAAATCAATGGGTAGTTTCTAATTTGGAAAAATAAGCTCAAATACTTTAACAAAGCACCGAGGAGTCCCTGGGGTGGAGCCGAAGCTTTGGGGCTGGTGTTCCGGTTCAGCCATTTAATAAATGCTGACATCCATCTAGCTCCTTACAATTTCCAAGGACAATTATATATGATCTCATCTTATCTTCATAACAGTCCCAAGAAACAGGTGCTAATCTCATATGGAGATGGGAAAATGATAGTATCACACCATTAGTAAATTCACTTCAGCCTCTTCCCTGGCTGAGTAACTCCACCCATTAAGCTGACCCCGACTCCTCAGTTGTAAGGGGTGGTGGTCATCTTACATCAGGGATTCCCAACTTACCTGATCCTAACAATTACCCAAGTAGCTTGTTAAAAAACAAACAAAACCACACAACAAAACTCAGATTCCAGAGACCCTTCCTTAGAGTTCGTGGTTCAGGAGGGCAGGATGGGGCCCAGGAATTTTCATTATTGACTAAAAGATGCAGATAATTTTTTGCCATCAGGCAAGTGTAGGACATCCTGGGCCCTATGTAGGCTAAGGTTCTTTTTAACTCTAATACGTTTCAAAGCAAGCCCCTCCTTAACCTCTACAGGCCGCTGGCCTCCCCACTCAGAACGGCATGTCCAGTCACAGAGACCGTCCTTCACAGAACATGAAACTGGTAAGATGGCTCAGTGCACACTTTTCTCCTTCACAGCTGTCACGTTTAAGTCCAACTGCATGCTTTGGGAGCTGTTTCCCTTGAGTTTCTAAAGAGCCCGTGAGAAAAGCAACAGTAATGAGAAAGGAGAGAGGAGGTGGCGGGAGGGAGAGCCGGGAAGGCTGGAAACAGGTGAGCTGCGGACCCGGCTGACAGCCCGGCAGCTCCGGGCCCACGACAGCCCTGCGGCGGACAACCCCAAGGCGGACCGGGCACTCCCCGAGCCCTTGTCTAGGGAAGGTGGGGCCCCCGGATCTAAGTCAGTGAGTACATGCAATCAAAACCCGCCTTTCTTATTTCCAGGGAAACTCAGAATCAGTGGGCAACTTATCGCAATGCCCTTGTAGATGAGAACTAAATGGAGGAAAACAAAGTGATTCTGGGGGTTCACTGGCAAATCCCAACTCAGGGGACAGCTACCGAGATGGGTCTAGATTTGGGTCGGATGCTTTACTTCCCTGGCACCCTTAGAAAATCACAAAACAATACAGTAAAGTCACACTGCAGTCCCTAAAGAAAGGCACTAAATCAGCTACCTTCCAGAGTTATGACCTATCATCAAATCCAAATTTTATCCCTGATATTTCAGACATAAATATTATGCCTATTCATAAGTAAATCTGCTTTTACTTTTCAAATGGAGGATTGAGGGGGGGAAACATCAATGTGGAAAACCTTAGGTTCAACTTTCATAACAAAGAAAGAGCCATCTTCAGTCAGTGAGAGGGAAGGAGGGGCCACGGGGAGGGGCCACGGGGAGGGGCCACAGAGAGGGGCCACGGGGAGGGGCCACGGGGAGGGGCGTGTCGGCGGCTTCCGCCAAGCCAATCCCCACTCTCCTGCTGGGGCCCAGCTCACTGATGTTCATTTTGACCAGTTTAAATGGCCAAACATTCCATGTCACTTGTCATTTAAGCCAAGGATCCATCTCAGGTTCTAGCTTGGGGAGCCCACATGATTTTGCGCCCTTCTGGAAAACAGATGAACAGTTAGGCAAGCCGAAAGTTGTGATGCAGAAAAACAAAAACAGACTGAGCAAATCTTCTCTCCCTCAGCCTGTTCCCCAGGCCCAGCTTCCAAACCCTGTTCTTCCAGACGCCCCAGGAGCCGACAGTGACCGAGGACATGTGCCACAGAGGGGAGCAGACCCCAGGGCAACAAAGACACTGCTCTCCATTTTTATTGGTGCATTTATATAATCACCCCTGTTGTAAAAAAGTTTAAATGTTTTTATTGATGAACATTACAGCTCTATTCTTAAAATCTAATCAAGGTTGACTTCTACTACTATCAGTTTTCCATATGCTAAAAACAGGTGATGAACTATAATTATCTTCTTTTATTAGACACTTTCTTTGAATAAAAGGTCAATTACTGAAAAACAGCTTTATGCCCAGCTGGTGTGGCTCAGTGGTTGAGCATGGACCCATGCACCAAGAGGTCGCCAGTCTGATTCCCAGTCAGGACACATGCCCAGGTTGTGGGCCCGATCCCCAGTGGGGGGCATGCAGGGGAGGCCAATCGATGTTCTCTCTCATCAATGTTTCTATCTCTCCTTCTCCCTTCCTCTCTCACTAAAAACCAATAAAGAAAAAAATAAAAATAAAAAACAGCTTTATTACATATATATTACATGATAAGTGTATCATGTGTATATTATACTTAGTCTTATGTACTAAATGATTTGTGCGAATATCCAAATTGCAAAGATTATTTTCTTAAATCTTTGTTTTTGTCCTGAATGCTCACTGCCATTACTGCTAGTAAGTCGAAAGGAGGAGAAACCAGCGGAAGATGTGATGAGCAAGGAGATGGCTGGCACTAGGTTTCTTTCCTAGTTTCTTAGGTCAAAGGAAAACATAGTTAAGGTGGGTTTTAATAACCTAGTTTTAAAAAGGATTTCCAGAATAATCACTGACTTTTCTAAAACTAGATGTTCCATCTGGTCTTTGTGTAGAGGAAGCTCAACCGGAAAACAAGCATTTGCCAGAAACAGCAGAGCAGGACCGGAACCCGACCCACTGTGACTTCCATGTACTACACACCCTGGACGACAGCCACATGGTTTCAGACACCAAAGTCGGGGGAAAAGAGAAAAAGTCTGAATGTGTTGTCTTGTGAAACATCCAGATGATCTGACAAAACACTTGGTATAGTGAGTGAGATAGTTGTTTTACCTTAATCATAACCTCAAACAATGACGCCCTGTAATATTTCCCTTCGGGACCAAGGGGCCTGGGCAGGTGAACACTGCATGCTAACAGCGAAGGCTGTGGCCCCGGGCACACGTCCGCAGCAGCACTGCACAGCCTGTGTGCCCCTGCAGGCCTGGGATCAGACGGCTGGGTCCCGCCTGGGCCCTGCCTTACACACCACCATCTCGGGCAGGTCACCCAACCTGTCCACACATCAGCTTTTGCATCTGTGATGGCAGGGTTGCTACGTGGATTAAAAATGATAATCTGAATAAGATTAAGACCTGGTAAGAATATTAAGACCTGGTAAGAATATAATACATGACAGCTGAGCTTATTATTGTTATTCTAGTTAAAATATTATCACTCCCCATGTTTTTAACCAATGCCCAAGCTCAGATGAAACAGCTCTGCTGTTCCTCAAACAGTGGCTTGGTGGTTCGGGTAAAGACCTGTTCTCTCTCAGCTCTCGGGTTAACTAGTTCCGGAAAGACAGCCAGTGAGGCAGCCCCACCCAACTATTCACCTTTTACTAAAATACATGAATGTTTTACGAGCTGATTACTCTCATCTTTTCATCTTGAAGCATTTCAAACATTACATTTATTATTCAACTAATCCAGGTTTATTGTAGAAAAAAATAAAGATACACAAATAGTAAACATCCTTCTATAATCTCATTACCCAGTGATTACACTAACTTTTTGATACTTTTCTCTGTACATCTACACATCAATGTGTGTCGATTTTACAAAAATGGAATCACTCTAAACATACTGGACTGTAGCCTCTATTTTAAAATAATTTATCAGATCTCAAGTCCAGTCAGTGTAGCTCAGTTGGTTGAGTGTCATCCTATACACCAAGAGGTCATGGGTTCGATTCCTGGTCAGGACATATGCCCAGTTTACAGGCTCGGTCTGCAGTAGGGGGCGTGCAGGAGGCAGCTCATCTGGGTTTCTATCTCTCTCTCCCTCTCTCTTCCTCTCTTTCTAAAAAAATCAATGAAAACATATTAAAAAAATAATTGATCAGATCTCTATTATCATTCATTGATCCATATGATTTTATGAATGGAGATATCAATTTTTTAAAACCACACACACACAAAAGATAAAAACAAATCTCCTTTTATTACACTTTATGCCATTTCCAGTTATAATTCTAACGATAGATGGATCCTACAATCCTGTATAACCTTCTTTCTTTTTAGGAATACCTTATTTAGAAGGCGGTATTTTTCTCACCAGCAATGTATGAGAAAATTTATCACACTGGAAATTTTCATAATATAAACTTTTGCCAATCTGATAAATGAATTATGTTCCCTTCTATTTATTTGACTGCTAAGCGAGGATAAATACTATATTTCATATGTTTTTTGGCCACTGGGTTTCTCCTTTTGTGAAATGCCTTTTCATGTCCTTTAGTATGATATTTTATTTAAAATGTTCTTTTCAACAGTAACTCTGTCTATCACAGTGGTTTTCAAAGTGCAGTCCAGGGACCCATGAGAGCTTTTCAAAGAATCCTAGAGGTTGACTTGGTTTGCAGAGTAACGTTAAGACATGACTTGCTTTGGCTACTCTCCCTCTGTCGCGGGTGTGAGACTCTCCCGGGGCTTCAGGACGTGTGGCAGTGCCATAAGCTGAGTGCGGGAGCAGGATTTATTACTATTCCTTAAACGAATCAATAAAGACATATTTGTACTTTTATCAGTTCTAATTTTGAATGTGATGACTATTGGCAGATGCAACATTTAAACAAAAGCTCTTTGGCCTTCTCAATAACTTTTCAGAGTGTCATGGAGTCTTGAGACCAAAATCTTTAGAACTGCTGATCTATCCCATGGGGAAAAAAAGTTATAGCAGCATGGCCTTTGTTTTGGAATTGTATTTATGAAGGATGATACTGCTTTTGGCCATATGGAGGTTTTACATTTTTTACATTTCTATATAGAAAAATTACCAACTTGCCCCTAGTTTTCTAATTCTGTTGATATAATTTAAAAGACTCCCTTTCTCAAGGGTATTAATAGTAGCATTGAAATCCTACAGATTCTTTGGATAAGAGATCAAACAGTATTTCCTCAGGGAATCCTTTAATTATATCCTCAGACTAGATTAGATTTCATGGTTATATGCTCTCAGATGTCCAGCACTTCACTGACATAATCTTCTCAAAATAGTAATGAAATAATTATTTGCATACTTGTACTTAGGAGTCTAACACTGGGCACTCCAAGTGCGTTGAGACTGTTCTGCTCATCACCAAACCCCAATACCCGAAAGGGCACCTTGCCCCCACTGAAGTTCAATGAATGTCTGCATGAAGGCATGTAGGAACATATTTGTTGTGGCAAACAAATTAACTTGCATATTGCTATTCTCTAGTGCAATACCATATTGTCTTTTTATATTATTAGCACCACAGCATTCCCTTCCCCAAATATTTATTGAACAACTGTTGTGGTCAAGGCACATTCTAGATGTGTAAGTACAGTGATGAACAAAGAGATGATCTGACTTTATTACACTTTAGCCAGTGACACACACATTAAACAAACTGTAGAATTACTTATGAATTCCAACAGCAGTAATGGGGTATGAAGGAGATGCTCTCCAAGCACATAAAGTGGAGCCTCATCTAGTCTGGGGCCAGGAAACACTTCTATAACCATTTCCCATTTTTCTAATGTTGGACCTGGAAGATGCTTTTTATTTTTAACCGTAAAATCCTTTGGGCGTATATCTTTGTCCACGTCTTTACTTCCTTAGAATACGTTCCTAGAGATGGGATTTCTCAGACAAATGTTATGAAAATTCTAAAGGCTCTTGATGCCAACTGCTCTCTGGGAAGGCTGGGCCAGTTGCAATCCCGCCAGCAGAGTGACGGTGCCTGCCTCGCTGTCCAGACTTTGAGGACTATCGGTGCTTTTTTAACCTTCACCTTATCGATAGGTAAAACAATATTATCTACCTGATACACTATGCATGTTCTAAACAGGGATGAGCTTTAAACAGAACGAACTACATTTCGCAAGACCCCCGAGTGAGGAAGAACTATGCACCTGCTGAGGGACTACAAGCCAGAAACAAAGGACAGACTGATGGTCTTCAGAGGAGGCTGCTGAGGCCAGAGTACAGTGGGTCTCATGAGTCTTATTAAATATTTTGGCCTCTGTCCTAGAGTAATGGAAACCCCTATATGGATTAAAGAAGTGATCTGTTTAGATTTGTGATGAACTCTTATTACAGGAAACAAGTATTATTTACAAATATTACTTATTTGTTCATTATTTCAGCTCAGAACAAAGTCCCTCATACCTAGACTATAGCAGACAGTATTACTTTTGTATCCCAAATAAAAGTTCATTTAACTCACTGGCCTTTGACAGAGATTTCAAAAGAATAAAAATAAATAAAGTTATTGTAAAACACCAACCAAACAGCTCAAAGGCATGTCTAATAATGAGAAAACAACTCTTGTCCTTTTCAAAGTGCATGCAGTACTAATTTGGCATCAGCAGGTGGCGCAAGGCGTCACATTACCACCTCGGATCTCAGGAGCAGAGTTGCAGTTACTTAAATCTCTGCTGAGTCAGGGAGGAATGTCAGCTCCCAAACATGCTATTTATATTCGTGCATCATGTGACCTGGCTCAAATGTCTCATCCCAGGCTTATTTCTTCCACTCACACAATACCATTTTCTCATTACTAAACTTGTTTTACACTTGACACAATTTAATAGGATTTATAACATCAAAAGTTTTCTTTCTAAAGTGTTTATAGTCTCCCTACCTCCTCCATCAACATATAGTGCTCTCTGCAAATTTCCAGGCAAACAGTATTTTTATTTCTTACTGGACAGAGGCCAAAGCTTCCTAGCACAGAGTGTACACAGAGATATGTCTGGCAACTGTCTTTTGTCTCAGAAGATATCATTTCAGTATTCTTTCCAAATACTCACACAATAGGATAAGGCCACGAGCTTAGAAGAACAGTTTTTTCTGTTTACGTATGAAATGGAGGACTTATTAAATCTCCAGAAAATTTTAAAGCAAAAACAAAACAAAAAGCCCCAATTTCTAAGCTATACTTGGAGATCAGAACTGTCATCTGGTCTCTGTTTCTCCCTTTCACCTAAGTTAGTCATGGTCCTTGAGAGCCAGGGCAGGTGACTCTGGACGAGGCCCACCTACCTCCACTCGGCCTTGTTGTGCAGGAATGAGTTACACTGGTCGGGAAGGTTAGTGTCATTTGACATGGACTCCAGAATTGAAATGATCTGCTTGAAAGATGGCCGTTTCTGAAAGAGAGAAAATAATCATCACTTGTTAGAAATTAAGACAGTAGATCTTCAAGAGAAATTCTATAAGCACTAAACTCAACTCAACTCACCATAGCAAAATAAAATATGATGTAATGTCTTGATTTAATTATTTTACAACTGTCAGACCACTCAGGTTTAGGGAACTGTATTCCTTATTTTCATGTAATTATTCATAAAAGTAGACTCATGTCATTTTTCCATTGTGTGACCTAAGTGGGAATAATTACAGTTTTCTCCAGGTAAGGAAAGTACTAATTCTCTCTTTTGGGTATGATTAAGGACTCCTAAAAGGCAAAAGTTAAGTCCTTTAAAACTCTATGTAATTAAGCAGGCATCTAAAAGTTAATGGTAGGGTCTAGGTGGTAGGTATAATAGTGTTCACTGTAAAATTCTTTCAACTTTCCTGGATGTTTGAAATTTTTTATAATAAAATGTTGGGGTGTAAAATCTACTTATCAATTTATCAGAACTAAAAAAAATTTCCTAAACTAGTTGCTCAGAAAAATTCCCCAGTTTTAAAGCCATTATAACTCCATGTTTATTCCGCATTGTAACCAGCTTTGGTGCTCAGGTACTGTTTACTGGAAACCGAAGATGCCGTAGTTGGGTGTATTTCTTCAGCCAGCAGTAATGACATTGCCTGTCTCTTTAGACTCACGCCAAGGTCGAGAAAAAGATGAAAACAAAAATGGAGAAAGACAACAAAAGGATGAGGCACATCCTCTCTTCAACATGCCTCAAAGTTATGCCATTTCTGAATAAATTACAGTTGCAGCAATTAAAACATGCATTTTAGTTTAGGATCACAAAAACAAGGACAAATGTTGAGGTGCTTGCTCTGCTCCCAGGACTTGAGCACTTCCTACATTAAGAAGGGCAGTTTTCCATTTCCCAGGTGTACAACGGAGGTACTTATTCTGAGTTCTTTTAAGGGTGTGTGTGCGTGTGTGTAAGAAGAGGGGAAGAATAGCAAAATGTCACTGATGTACACCAAGCCTAATAATAAAAAAACAAAATGCTTTACGCAGGAAATTAAAAATATCATTTGTCTTCTTTTGACTTTGTTCCCATTTTAATTTCTACCACTATGTGTCAGGTTGCAAAAGAAAAATATTTTAATTATTTGCACAGGAACAAATTATATAATAAATATAGGATTTTCATTTTGCATTAAAAAGCAGCAGCAGGAACTAATGACGTTTTAAAGAATAATATTTTTCTACATAGACATTCTTGAAATAAGGTGAAAACTCTTTTGTAATTGGATAATAAGTACCCCTAGAAAAAAATCTGAATTTTATCATTAGAATATGCCCTCAGATAGGAATGATCAAAGTGAACATTTAACAAAGCAACAACGATGCAGACTTTCATGGTAATACTATTTTGTGTGTACTCTGATTGCAGAAGACAAGATTTGGCCTAAGATCTTATGTAAGCTCCTCCGAAGGAACGTAGTTTCCTTTTAGGTATAATGAGGTTTTGTGTACTTAAAAATCACAACTAGGGTCCTTTATTAAGCATCTGCACACAGTATTTCTTTAGTTACCTTCATTTTATAGATAAGGAAAATCAGTCTCAGAAAAGTATACAGTGCCCAGTACCACACAGGAAGCAAATCATGGAACCAGGGATGATATACATAAATGCTTCAAAATGCCTTATTACGAGAGAGTGAAATATTTCCTCCTTTCAAATTCAGGGCTCTGTTATTTTTTTTCTTATTTAGAAATGTCACTTTAGAACTTGAACCAATATCTACCTTTACTTCCTTCTTTTCTTCAATAAATATTCTAAGTACCTGTACAAGCCATTGGGATGACCTGACACTGACCTAATATCAGCTTTCTCTTGTATCTATTTCCTCCTCATTGCAAAAGAACATATTTTTATAGCTGATTATTTTAATCTGTGTGTTAATATTCTAAAGTCTACACACTGAAAAAAAACATACTTTAAATACCATTATACGTGAATAGTTCTGGCACCAACTTCCGGCTGGAATGCTATATACTTCCAGCCAGGGAACTAGCATGTGCCTCTCAGGAAATAAACCGTGGCTGGCGACTTCAGTCAACCCAAATTGGGCATCTGCTTGCTCAGTGTATAGGCAAACGGAAGGCAAAACTAGCTCTATTCCCGTACAGATCCTGCGATCAATTTAGGAAGAAAAGGTATTTTTAACAACAAACAGTATAAGGTAAGGCACTAGCCCGGATTGTGATTTAGGAAAAGAAACACTCGTGATGGGCCGGGGTACGCAGAATAGCCAGGGAAGCTGATGATGAAGCAGCCGGGGTCGGGAAGAAAGGAAGGGAGCCTGTGGGCAGCGACGGTGCGGAGGAGCGTCTGGAGCTGCTCAGCAGTGAGAGCTGGGAATGTGCGCTGCGGCTGAGCCTAGAGCTGGATCAACTCCAGGGGCCATGCCTTCGTTTTAGCAGCATAAATTGTCATAAGTTTAGGAAATAAAAATCAATCAAACTTCCTTTATACTTCACACGACTAGAACATAAGATTCCTTGTGGTGCTAAGGAAGTTCAGCTTAGCACATGTGAAAGACATGCCAGCTTCATGGCAACAACATGGGGCCCGATGTCCTGCACGGCCGGTGTTTATGCTCTCATTCCACTAATGCACCATAAATGTACATGCTCAGAATTATAAGTCAGGTAGCACAGTTTCTGATGAAGAAATTCAAAACCTGCTTTGTGTACTGAAATAAAAATCACAATTACAGAAAACTAGTTGCACTAATCTAAGTCAATGCAAATAATTTCAGGTGAAATTATTATTTAAATGTTAGAGAGGAAGACACTATCAAAATTTCTGTATATGCCACAATGGACATAGAACTGGTAGAAAGAGTATGAAAAGGGTCATATGATACCATGTTAACAGTATTAAATAAATGTTCTAGAACAAGCTTGCATAGGCACTTAGAGTTTCTAGTGGATTAACTGCAAGTGCAGGCATTTCTCTTAATGCTTAAAAATCCCCTCTTCTGCAAAGTCACACTCTAAAAGAATAGGGTTGAAACAAGGATAGGGCTGACCACTCAAAACCTATGCAAGTCTGTCAGAGAATACTAATAAAAGCAATACTAACACAGTTTAAAAACTTTTACTTCTTTAATGAAAACAATACTGAGTAAATATAGGGCTCTTTGTAAAAAGGGTGAAGGCAGTTTGATGAAAAGGAGGAAAAGCAAAGATTGAGGCTGTTTGTTAGAGAGGAAGGGTAAATGCTCACGGCTGGGGGAACCAGCCACAAACCCTTAAGGCTGCCAGCCAGCTGGGAACTTGGGGGCGAAGGGGCCCTACGGCACTGCCGGCTCCACTCCTGCCCCTGGTGCTCAGCTGTTCCCACTGGCTGGAACGGAACCCCGCGCTGGGAGACTTTACATATGACTCCGGGGACCCTGAGTTTTACTAACATAGTTCCCATGCTCACCAGTTGTTGATGAGTTATTCCACTAGAGCAGTGGTTCCCAACCTTCCTAAGGCCGGACCCTTTGACACAGTTCCTCATGCTGTATGTGGGCGCATCTGCATGTGGGCGGACCCGCCTGGAGACGGATAGAGGAGCGGTGACTCCGTTCCTGAGACCATCGGAAATATGTGTTTTCCGATGGTCCTAGGCGACCCCTGTGAAAGGGTCATTCGACCCCCAAAGGGGTCGTGACCCACAGATGGAGAACCGCTGCACTAGAGGAACATGTAGAACAGACTGTATGTTATCATTCGTTCTCCTTGAGGGTCAGACTGGAGCTGGGTTTAAATTAAAGAAGAAATTCCATTCTCAAGTTTTTATTTTTAGATCTCTATTGAAAAGGTCGGGTTACAACAGATCTATTTCCATGAAATTCTGGACAAATTGAAACCATAAAATTTTAGTTCCTTTCTGGAGTATAATTCTCTCTTATTACAATGTTTAATCTGTGAGAGTCTTTATTTTTAACTTCTTATTATGGAAAATTCCGAGCACACACAGTGATAGAGAGAATAATATAATGAAACTCCATATACCTATCACTCAGCTTCAAAGATTATCATGACTGATCTTATTTCATTTATACCATCCATCCATTTCCCTTCACTTTATTTTGAAGCAAATCCAAGACCAGCCTGTCATTTTATCTATAAATATTTCCGCATGTATGTGAGAGTCTTTTAAAATGCTCTTTGTAGGGAAAGGAAATGGGTCATTCATGCTCAAATGTGATAACCACATGAAAGCCTAAGTTTTGGAATTTCTCCAACTCTATTGTGATAGCCTAAAAAACATCACTGAAACTGGACAGGAAGTACATATCAAGATTCTCTCCAAGTGCTACTTCTAGCCTTTGGTTAGAAAGGTGACAGAGGATAGTGGTTAAGAGCCGGGACTCGTGTCAAACTGCCTGGGCTCATTACTTAAGCTCCGTGTGCCTTGATTCTCCATCTATAAAATGAGGATAATGACAGTACCTATTTCACAGAGCTATCGCGAGGGGTAATGAGTTAACATACATAAAGTATTTGGGGCAGTGCCTGACACATAATAAGCACTGTGTGCCATCTTTAAAACATGAAGGTGTAATAGTTATCATTAAAGATGAAAAAGAAAGGAACAAATTTCTCTTTATCGAGTCAAGAATGTCCAAGTGCTGTAAGCAAGAGCCCATTTGATTGAGTTTATAGGGATCAAGGTAAGCAGATGTCAACAGCCAGTCTGGGAACAGGAAGAGCTTTGCCTTGTCACAGACTTTATCACTCCATTTAAAAATTCAGCCAAATAAACAGGTGAAATGTCAGAATTCTGAACAACAGCAGCAACAAAATATATAAATATATATATATATATACACACACATATATATACCTTGGCATCAGCTTCCCAACACTGATGTAACAGTTCAGCAAAACTTCTGGGGCAACTGCTTGGAATGGTCAATCTCTACCATAAAGTAAAAACAAAACAAAATTAAACACAAGGATTTACTCGCTATTAAAAATAGCAAATACTAACTGAAGGGTCATAAAATAATTAATTGAAGAGCATGAACAAGGCATTATATTTAAATCATCCATTGATTAATATATGACAGGTAAGTTTAGATTCACAGTATCTAATCTCTAAATATACTTATACTTTTCCTCTAAAGAGGAGTCACAGTGGATGGAGAATCAAGTCTAAAAGAAACTACGGTAGGAGAGGGCAAGTCTGAACTTAAATACATCTAAAACCACCAAACTATCACTGTACTTTTATAGGCAACTGTGACACATGCAAACAGGCCAGGCAACTCGGAAACCAGTTCAGTTTTGGCAGTGGATGGACAACTGTGACGACATTTGCACCCTAGATAACCGCAGAGATCATTTTAATGGAGTACGCATTCTCCCTTTGGTAAATAGGACATTCTGAATGCATGATTTATTATGGCTTACTTTTAGTCAAACTCATAAACTGTAAGGACCTGATACAACAGAGATTATAATGTGAGGATCGGTCTTGTTCCAACCTTCTACAGTGGTGGTTCTCAAAGAGCATGTAATGCTCCTAGAGGCTGTTTAGAAATCTATGGAGGCATTTTTGTTTGTTTTAAAAACAGGTGGGTCGCACCTGGAGCAGGTCAAGGATGCTAGCCATCCTTCCATTTACAGTCAAGTCCTTCATGATTAAGAACTGCCTATAGTCCATCAAACTTCAAATGCCCCATGTGCATTCGTGTAAGTAAAACAAGCAAACCACGAGGTTTACAATTTTCTAAGCCTAGAATCTAACTCTGACTCTGAAATAAACAAAAGGTATTTTCTGAACAGTTTTTAAATGCACTGAACTTTCTAAGAACTCAACTACCAAATAAAATAAGTCAAGGGCTGGTTGAGGTTTGCATTATTCATAACCTAACTAAAATTTCTGGAAACTGTCACAGACAACAAACAGTGTTGCTCACGCACGGTGCTGGAGTCATGAGCCCAACTCGGCTCCGCATCTGTAGCTGCTGAAGTCTGTTTATCTACAGGTGCGGTGCCAGACACTGCTGCATGACCTCCGGTGGCCACGCCTGAGCATTTACACATTGCAACTGCAATACAGATTTCATTAATTTCTTTTTTATATTACAATTAGAGCGTTGTACTGGCTTAGAACATACTGTGTGTGGGCAGGTTGTATTACCTCTGAATTTCATTCCAGGGACGTGGAGGGGCGTTAACTCGGCTGTTATAAAAGAGCACGGGCTGTGCTGGAGTTGAGAGCTGCGGCACTAGCAAGTACCGAGAACATTTATCCCACAGTATCGTTAGCCAAAGAAGTTTTGCAAATAAACTTAGAACTGAACTGAGTTGGATTTAGGGGAGGCAGTGTGTAAAACTAGAAAAACAGTTGCCTTGGCAAGAAAACAAGACAATCTATATTTGGAATTACAGACAACCTTAAAATAAAATAAAACAATAAAAACATTTAATCAAAAACCCTTCTCCAAGTAAGAGGCTATGCTAAACATTTTAAAACTTCTAGCCTTGTGATTTCGTAGGATAGCATACAATGTGATAAACTGTATTATTATTTTACTGTAATGTGAACTGGAATCTTTTGATAAAGGTCAAAAGAAAAATCAGGTATTTACTTAAAAAAAAAAGATGGTTGGGGGTGGCAACTAATAAAACAGACAGTAATTGCAATTATGAAACCAAACGCACCTCACGTGTAATGAAAAATAATTTTTCATAAAGGCTAACATTTGCAATACAACTTTATCTCAACATTTCTCTAAGAACTGAAAGGTGACTAGGATGAATATGGATATTGGTCATTTCTATTATCTCTTCTTACTGACAAACTTTTTAGATTCCATATCTGAGACACTGTACAAGGAGACGATTATTTTAAATAATCTGACATGGTCATATATCAGTTAAATCTAGACTCAGACACTTTATGTAAAGGATTATATTGGTGCATTAAAAAGCACCTTAAAATACAATCCAAAAAATTTAAGTCCTGATGACATAACTTGTGCATTAAAAACATTCTGAATTAATCAGATATAATGTATTAGAAAACATTCTGAATTAATCAGATATTAGCACCAGGTTTGCAATATGACTTAAAACTTAAATGTTTAAAAATAAAGTTTCAAATTTCAAATTAAAATATTTCCCAACTACTACATTAGATACGGCATTTTTTAAAGTTCATATTTTCTTTTGCACCATTTTCTATGTAAGATGCAAAAATTAATTTTTTTAAGTCAAGTTTATTATCTTTTTCTAAAGTACAGTCAAAAACAATTCAGCTTTTTGAGGATTTCTATGTTAATCAAGAATAGTAGTTTTCCTACTTAGAATAAAACACATTTTATGTGAGAATCTAGTATTTATTAAGATAAAAATTATGCTATCAGACCATTCTGAATGACTACTAATTGAGTTTTATGTTTATTACAAAGGCAAATATACACATCTGTTACATGTTAAAAATTTATTATTAATGCCATCTTAATTTCATGCCTTTTATAATGGTTCACTGTTTGCTTTGTAAAGTTTAACAGTGCTTTAAGTACCTAGTTTTAATAGGATTTAATATTAGGAAAAAGTATTGTTTAAAGATCTTATTTCATTATTTAGAGTTTAAAAGCAAAGGCCTTCAGATACAATTTTTAGAAAGTACTGATCTTCCTACAGATGCAAAAAACGATCTTAAATGGTGAAACCAAATAAGGTTTACAGTCTCGTTAAGAATAATGTATCAATGTCAATTCTAGGTTTTGATATTATACTCTACCTACCTGTCACCGGTGGGGGAAGGTGGGGGAAGAGTATGCAAAAATCTTTATAATATTTTTCAACTTCCTGTGAGCCTATACTTTCTTTAGAATAAAACGTTAACAACAAAAAAAAGTAATCCTAATAATTGGTTATAGGTACAATCTAGGGTGACTAGTTCACATTTTAAATGTCTCCCTGAGCCCTGGCTGGTTTGGCTCAGCTGTCAGAGCGTTGGGCTGCGGACTGAGGGATTGTGGATTCGATTCCAGGTCAAAGGCACCAAACTGGGTTGCAGATTCGTTCCGCGGCCCTGGTCTGGGCGCACTCAGAAGGCAACCAGTCAACGTGTTTCTTTCACATAGATGTTTTGCTCTCTCTTCCCCCAACCCCCTTCAACTCTAAGAAAAAAAAAAATCAATGGAAAAAAATATCTTCAGGTGAGGATTGACAACAAAAAACAACAACAAATAAATGTCTCCCTGAAGTTTAAACATACCAGTCTTTGTTTAAATGAGACCTGTTCAAAAATATATTCAGCTTTGTCTTTTCAAGTCAGTAACCCCAGACACCTTCTTGAATGATAGGGGAAACTTCTTCTACACTGAATTTCCATAATTTCACAAGTAAATATTGTGCAAAATGAAGACAAATAAATATCCTTGTAATACCCAGTTTTCCTGAAGTTAATTAGGAAATTGAGAAAACTTATTTCACCATGTGGGTTTTTTCCAACTTACTAGTATATTTAATAACTACAGTATGGGATGTATTTGAGCAGTCTCCATCAGTTATTAACTGATCGTAAGATCACACCATGGACAAAACAGCACATTTTACTTTTGGGAATCCCTGGGGAGGAGGAGGGAGATGTCCTCCTTGTACACTTGTCGAGGAGATGCTGAAGGTTATTTTCGGATGATTCCCAATCCTCAAGTCAACTATCCAAGGGCACCTTCTAAATTCATTTTCTCTTCAGCTTTAAAATTCCTTGATAGACGCTCCAATGTTTTGAAAGTGCTTTAAATTTATACCTATTCTGCCATCCTTTAGATAAAATATTACTTAAAAAACATTAATTACTCTGTCTTGCACATATTTGGAGGGTCCAATTAGCTTTAGGAAAAAGTTTACCTTGAAACACAGTAGAGGGAAAAAAGGACAGTATTCTGCTCCAAAGTCAACAGAAGGTCAACAATTTTCTACACTCTGATTTGTGAACCCAGAACCAAGCATCTAATCATCCCATCGGCAAAAGAAACCGAACAGAAACAAGTGGGCTCTCATATCAGGAAAATGTCAGTTATCCTGTATGTGAGGTCTGATGTACTAGCACACCAGGAATTACTCTCACATTTAATTAAAACAGAGCAGCTCCGTGAAACAATGACTAAGACACATTCTTGAATGTAACTCCTTTTCATTTTTCTTAAATCAGCAGCTCCCTCCTATCAAGTTCAGCTGTCATGAACATTTCATCCATTCTCAATGGCTCAGGAGGACAAATTAATAACTCTGGATTATGTGATCTAAAACATGGAAACTTGGTTTCTCTTAGTCAATAGCAGCTATTTGATTAATCTAGTTTGTTCCTGCACTCACATGGGGAGCAGCTCAACCTAATTCTTTTAAAGCATTAAAAAGGGACTCTCCCTCTTTATATTCACCTTTTGCAAATTATTTTATCCTCAGGTTACACTCTTACCCTTTCTGGAGGGCACAGACAAGGTCTGGAAATGAAGTTTTGTGAAATGAAGTCGTTTTGCATTGCAAAGACAACTGCATGCTTCCATGACATGATCTAAGTCCTCCTAATACCCTGGTAGCGGATGCTTCATCCTTATGCTGAACATTTCCATGGCTGTGCGTTTCAGTCACAATTTTAAACCTTTCAAAACGTAGTTGCTCCCTTTGATATGAATGTACCATGTTCTCTGATGTAGGCTCATAGGTCCAACTAACTGAAAGCCTCAATTTGTGGGAAGAAGAAAAGCGAGGCTGGGGACACAGCACAAACGGTGTTTACGCCACTGAAGTTCTTTTGAAATGGAAAGGCCCTGCATGAAGAAGCGAGCAGCTACGCCGTGCCTCGCCAGTTCCAGTGAGGGGCTCATCTTCAATGTGGTGTTCAACGTAGGTGGCAAAACTGTAATTTTTCCCCTTTTTTGAAACTATTTTTTCTTCTTTTATTTTTGAAATTCTCATCTAAGCGACAGTTTCTTGTACTATAGTGACTCCTGCTGGGAGAGGTAAGTTGAAGTAGCTGAAGGTCTCTTACAGATATATCAACTCCCAGCCAGTAAAAAAGATGTCCTAAACGCAGGAGATGGAGTTAAACTGTTCCCCTACCTTGGACGCAATGGCTTCTTTCATCACTAAGAACAAACCCCTAGGTTTTACAATTGAGACTGAGAAACTAGTACAGTACTTGTACAATTTTTGATCTACAGCATCACGACGTGAAGCTGCAACAATTAGATGTAAAGGGTCCATTCATGAGGAATAACATCACTTTGACCCTTTGTGTTAGCTCCTACTGCTAATCTTTCCATAAGCGTGAACTTACTTTCAATTTGAAGAAGATGAAAAAGTCTTTTGCAAAACCCCAATACTGTTTTCTGATCTATGTACCTGAATGGAGAATCGTAGTCTTACCTCGTTTTTTTCCACTACAAGCCAAGCTACTTGTAATCCTTCCAAACCTTTAAAGGGGACCTCCCTTGTTAGCATCTCCCAGAGAACCTGGAACAAAAAGAAAATGGAATTTTTATTCTTGTACTTTATATTTTTGGCATATTACTGAAACTTTATCTAACATTTAATTGTATCCAATTACCAGACACAACCAATCCCATCTGTAGAAACTTGGGCAAAATGTATATATTCATGCATAGGACTCCTTCCATATATTATGTACATTTTTTAAATTAAGAAATTCCAGTTTAGAAATTAGAACATCTAGAGCCAGACTTAAAATTTTAAGAAACCAATGGGCCTAAAGTGATTTAACTTTATCTTAAGTTATTAGAATTCTCATGTATTCCCATAAACTAGGTTTTATATTTTGTTAGTCAAAACTCTTTCCACCTTCAATCTCTGATAAATTTCTCTATAAAATAAATAATAACTAGAAATTCAACCATATTTTAAAAGGTTCAATATGGTATCATCATAAAAAACAATCAAGCCCCAAATTCAAATCCCTGGCTAACCTACTTACCTCATAGTGGTATGTACTTGCAAACTTGTAACATTCAGATTTTGTATTTTGGAGAAATATCTCAAAATGAGTTAGTCTAAGGGATTCATTTTCATTCCCCTATAACATAATTTGTTAATACTATGTTCTAAAATGTAATGACTACTTTATGTATATATATATATATATATATATATATATATACACAGACGAGTGTGTGTATGAGAGAGAGAGAACTGATGTGAGTGTCCATCGGTCTGGGGCGTTGAGGTCGGCATGATTAATAACTCTACACTGGCACAAAGAAAGCAAATGGATTCTGGGAAGGCTGAAAACAGCCAATGATTCTGGTTTCACTTTAAACATTGAGTAATGGAGATTTTTACACCCAGTTACTTTCTCTGTTTATACAAATGAGCAGCAAAATTTGAGTCTACCAATACTTTGTGAAGTACAAAAACAATTATGATTTTTTAAAATAATAATCATAACAGCCACTATCATTCAATGATTGTTTATGTTCCAGGTACTGTTAAACCCTTTATATGTTATCAAGATTAATATCAATCCACTGGAGAGATAGAATCCTCATTTTATAGATGAGGAAACAAAGGCTTAAGAAAGTTAAATGAACTTGCCCTAAGACACTCAGTTATCAAGAGGCAGAGCTCGGACAGGAACTTGCTGTCTCACCCTGAAGGTCACGCTCTCGACCCCATGTAACTCTAGAGAAGGAGAAGCCCAGCACAAGGGAGAATGTGACATGCCCTATTTCAGGTATGCGGCCATGGCAGAAACAAAGTCAGCAGTTTTCATTTAGATTTCTCTGGTTCCAGACACAAAACGAAACTAAAAAACATTTCTAAATAAGAATGTAGACTGAAGACATAGACTGTCCTCAAGCAAATCCTATAAACTCTTAGCTCTGTATTGCCTTAGTCAGTGCTATTCGAGCTATACACGTTATTCAAGCCATAACATGTTCAATGAATTCTGGCTAACACGCAGATAATTAGCAGGAAAATCGGGGGAATTGGCAGACGTTGCTCAAGCAAGAGAAAAAAAATTCACTGAAGCCTCTTTGGGCTTTTAATCAAGTGTGTGAGGTACTTCTTTCGAGGAGCTACTGAATAATTCTATGTGAGTAACGGCAGAGATTAGGAAAAGGTGAGGGCATCCCCGAAGGGGCCGATTCTGGCGAGCACTGTAAGTAAAGGAAGGCCGAGGCAGGTATGCAATCACGCCTGACACGCTGCCTGCCGGGGAGGGGGCGGGGCATCGAGAGGGCAGAGCAGGAAATGAAGCCCCTCAATTTGTTGCATTTACCACTCCCCTGGTGTTGGGGTTGGAGGGGAGAAGGGAAGTGAGGAGCAAGCAAATTAATGGACTTGACATTCCTGAGGAGAATGGGAATAGTGAATCAGCCTCAAATAAATCAAATGCACCAGACCCAAAACATTGCAGTGAGCAGCCTTGCACCCCCCCCTTCTGGAGTCCGGCCCGCACGCACGATATATTGCGCACGTCCTACATGAAGACGGGCTGGGCTCTGTGAGGGCAGGTGCAAAACCAAGAGCTTGGGGAATAACACCAGAAAAAGATTTATGTCCTCCTTTATTCCAAAATATGCAGTTGGAAAATGTCCAAGATCTAATAAGATCCTGGTTATATTCCTCTAAGAGTTCTAACTGGAAAAATAAGACAGTTTCACGTGACGTCCTCTCCATGTCCCCAAAGAGCTGCTGTAACTGAGGGAGCCACCTGATGGAGGTATAGCCGTCGGGGATGGTGTCACTCATGGCTCGGTTTCGAAGCCCAAATGAGGTCTTCAGTTTAATCCCAGTAGCAGCACACCTGATTTCCTACTATGAACTCCCCAGATCCAGGAATGTATCAAAAAGTAGATGGCATGAGACAGGACAAGAACTTTTTCTACACTAACACAATGACACTTGGCACACAAAAAGAAACTTTGTTGAGAAGTCATCTGGAGGTCTAAAAATATATTAAACTCTGCCTGAGAATATCAGTTATGGGGATGCAGGCCAAACATTGTGATCTTTCACCCTGAAAATATTTTCCATCTTGTTTTATATTGAGACGTCCTCACGTTTACACTGTTCGCAAGGACATTTCCTATTTTCAGTTCGCAGAAGAGAAATCGGACCAGGCGCGGTGCACTGTGCCTGCCTCTTCTTTCCCGGACAAGGGGAGCCAGCGCCCCAGCCGCCCGTCCTGGAACCGGAGCCACTCTGGTTGCAAACCTGGCTGGGCTGAGCTGCTTCTAAAAAGGTAATGCTTTCTGCTCTGTCCTCAGGACAGACCTGTTTTCGGAGAGTGGCTGGGCCTGTGTTCTCACAAGGCTTCTTTCAGTGATTTTTGCTTTCCTTACGCGTGTGTGTGTGCGTGCGTGCGTGTGTGTGTGTGTGGTGGGGGTAACATTCTAAACACTCCGGGTTTGGTCCTTCAAGAGAAGTCATCAGAAGGGGGTGGAAAAATCCCGTCTTCTACAACGGAGAGAAACAACTGACTGCCTAGCAGAGTGCACCAGCTTAGAGGGAGGGATCACAAGATCCATTCCTGGCATCCGCAGCCCATTTATTTTAGGGCTGGTTAGTCTTGTCATGTGTTGAGAAGCAACAGGATTAGCAAGCTGGGGAGGGCAAGGGACTTACTTGGATAATATTAGGGGCTAAATTCCTACATCAAGTCTGGAAAAAAATAATAAAAAGCAAAAATATATTGAGATTTTTGGTGTGGGTTTCTAAAAAGGACAACTTTTAAAAATGGTCTTATTCATTTGTCTGAGAGTGCGATGTGTGTGTGGGCTCAATGAACAGAATAGAGGTCTAATAAATTATGGGATGATTTAAGCAAAGACATACTCCTACTGAGAAATGAGTCCTAGCTACTTGCCTTATTTTGAATGGACGTCAAAAATTCTAAATAACCACATTGCTTTCCTAGCTTGATGTCATTTTCAAAGTTTATATACTACAAACTTCTGAAATCAACATGGTCCCTCCTTAACAAGTATCCTCTCCTGCTCTTTTAGGTGATACCCACTTGGAACATAATATCTTCTTCGTTTACTTTATTTTTTAATTGTTATTATTTAAACAGAAAGGCTCTGGAAAGCAGGCCTTGTGCTTTTTTTCTTCACTAATGGTGTTTATCCAGAACAGAATGTGAGAAGGGGTCAGAATTTTTTAAAATCCTAAATTTCCATTTATTATTCAGTTAGGATATGCACCCTTTTCTAAATGGAATTCTGCCTATACAGCTATGGGGTAAGAATAACTAGCACTCTCTTCAAGACAGTAAAACAGAAACTGTTTTTAAAACAAACAGATTCACTGGAAAGGCATTTCTGTCTTCACCAGTTAAAAGACTACTCTAACAGGAACATAAATTAAATTAAATTAAATTAAATTAAATAAACATTTGCAGCTTCAGAAAGGTGAGTCAAACTATGTTTAACATGAGCGGTCAATGAAATGAGTGACAGGGCTTTTATTTTATTTCAAAAAATATTTTTTCTTGCCCTGGCCAGTTTGGCTCAGTGGTTGGAGCATTGGCCTGCGGACCAGAGAGTCCCGGGTTCGGTTCCCGCTAGGGGCACGTACCAAAAAATAAAAAATTTTTTTCTTCATTGATTTTGAGAGAAAGAGGAAGTGGGAGAGAGAGATATATAAACATTGATGAGAGAGAACTGGTCGACGTTCTCTCCACTGGGGATCAGGCCCACAACCTGGGCACATGCCCAGACCGGGAATCGAACCAGCGACCCCTTGGTGCATGGGTCGATGCTCAACCAGTGAGCCACACCAGCCAGGTGGGATTTTAAAATGGTATAGGAAAAAACCCTGAGCTCTGCAAACAGAAGTCACCTCTCAGCATCCTTTATGGTTTCCTGTGAAAAGGGATTGGTTTTTCTTGGCTACTGTGACTAAAAGTCTGCTTCAGCCAAGAAGAAGGTGGTACATTTCATACCAAAGCCCCTGGCCACGGCAGGGGTTTAGACAGAGGCAGTGCATGGAGTTTTGTTTCATAAGTGAAATAATACTAAAACCAAAAGTTCACTCTACACATAACTCAAAGTTGTGTCTTTCAGGTGAACAACTTCTGAGCTCAGGAAATTCCCAGATGTGGGGAGCACTGGGAAAATGAAAGCAGTGCATGAGAACTTGTGGAGTGCTGACATGAACCTCAATAGTCTTAACTCATGGAAATGTGCAAAATCACTGAGACACAATAGCCACCTAAATATGCTGACGTATATTTATCCACATGGGCAAGTGAGAGCAGTGAGACCGGGGTCTCGTGCAATCGCTCTGAACTGCTTGCTCTTCAGCCACGGTGCTCATCTTCCCACCCCTCCCGTTCCAGAGCGGCCTGCACACCGTGGCCTGCAGCAGAATTGAGACTGCTCCTAACATTTTTACAGCGTTGTTAAAAAGAAAATGCAATAAAGACTATAAGTGGCCCTCAAAATCTAAAATATTTACTATCTTGTCCTTTACAGACAAAGTCTGCTGGCTCCTGTTGCACAGAATGAGATACTAGTTCCAAGAAGCAGCAAGGTCCAACTTTAATGACCCTAAGTTGATGACTAGCACAGTGCCTGGCACATACATAGATTTTTGCTTAAAAATGAAGGAACATAACTTCATAAAAAAATGTTGTCACGAAATGTCTTACACTGCTACAGATTCCCCCATTTTCAGACTCCCTAGCCAGTGATTAGTGGATGGTCAGACCGTAGAAACTTTTGACTTGGGGAACAGTTTTAGAACCTAGTCTTTTCTGGAACTTGTGGGTCCCCCTCCCCCCTTCCTTCAATGAGAATTATTTTATCACTGTCTATCAGTTTAAAGCCTTCATTCTTAAAAACGTACAGAATTAAGGAAAAGTAGATATTTAGCCTATATTAGACATTTAGTCTTCCAGCCTTTACAGTTCTAACTTTTGGCTCAATACATGTATTTCATTCTTGAAATGATTTTTTTCCAACTGCCAACAAATTCATCTCCACTATATTAAATTGATGTGGTATACATCAGATATACTGTGATTCAGAAAACTGAAACAAGCCTAAAACGTAAGTCATGAATCCAGCAGTCATAACTAGAGACTGACGAACTCTCAAGTACAAGAAATGGGTTTGACGTTGGTCTCCTTGAGCACCACCAGCTCCATCACCTTCAGTTGCAAAGAGAAGTTAAGGGAGAAGAGGCATGTTGATTTGGGCCAAAATTAGTCTGCATCTTTTCCCATTATTATGAAAACACCCTTTTAAAAAGCAATTGATTTTATTACTTCTTAGGCAGCATAGTTGGGAGGTGAGATGGGAAGACAGGGAGTTCCAAATACTGTTTTGGACGTTTTAAAGGCTACACAGCATGTTTAGGGATAACACACTTATCCTCGAAAAAGGGCGACAAATGAATTCTTCCACCACCAAAGAACCACCCTGCCCATCTTCCCCTAGCACCTCACTACTTCTATTCCCCCCACTTCTTTCTCTCTGCTAATTCAGACATAACTTATTCCTTAAGCATGAGCCATCTGAAACCCCTCCAGGAGCTTGTGCTCCGTGACCGCTTCATTCCTGTGGTCTCTTCCCTGAGCATTCCTTATGCCCTCACAGTATTCTATTCCTGTAACTGTGCTGCTCTGTTGTTGTTCTTGATACCTTAGATTCATGTTCCAGACGGCCAGCACTACTTTATAAGACCTGCAGCAGATATGAGCAAGGCCATGTGCTAAATGCTCAGTACATTTTCTTCTGTACTTTCCAGAAACTCACTAATCAGTTTCATAGTTGGCACTCAAAAATTTCCGGTTAATCAACAGGATCTATTTGGCAGACCTACTGGCAGTTCATTATAATGAAGTCTCATTCCAGATAATCCACATCACCACCGACTTAGCAAGATATCCTATAGTCGTGCCCATCCAGGAAAGCACTGTCCACAGGGGTGCATCAGGCCCAGACAGGTTCTGTCTAAATGGCCTCTTAGAAGTGGCATTGGTTTCTTCTCAACATAGGACAAAATAGCTCAGATGCATAAAAGTGATCAAAGTAAACATTCTAGTAACTGCAGAATGTTCCCACTGTGCCAGGCATTCCACCAGAAATAACATCATTGTCTTAAAGCTGTGTTCAACAGTTGTAACCCACCTCTTCTCTCTCTCTCTCTCTTTTTTTTTTTTGCTTTTTGTATTTCCTTTAGCAACCAAAAATGAGAAATGAACTCACCACACCATAGGAATATGTGTCACAAGTCTCAGACACAGGGAGACTCTGGATAACTTCTGGAGCCATCCACGGGAACGTTCCAACCAAGGACATGTGTGTTGTATGGTTATGGAACCGAGAGGCACCAAAATCACAGATCTGAGAAAACAGAAATAAGTATCAACTTTCTATTTAATGGCTAATAAAAAATACAGTCATAAAAATCTACATCTGATATTAACACATTTTTTTAAAGAAAAGAAATAATCCTACCTTCAATACCCCATCAGCAGCTATAACAACTAAAAAAAAAAAGAAAAGAAAAATTATGACAATCATCTACCTCACTTGAGTATCTTATACTGAAAAAAATCATAAAGTTCTATTTCTACTTTCTATATGGCATCATGACAGGTAAAATCAAAGTGGCAAGATTTTGGAAAAAAGGAGCTGACATTAAAACAAAAACAAATTCCATGAGGTGCTTAAATAGGCTTCCAAGACATTTATTTAAATCAAATGTAGTACGGTCCAGCAAAAAAAAAAAAAAATAGGTTAGTAGTAGCCAGGAGAACCAAATTTTTTCTTGGGTTTTGCCAACACAATACTGAGGATGTCATTAGCATTATTGCTTCATTGTATATATGTTTCTTCCTCACAACTGAAGAGTAATTTTCTCAAAGGCAGGGACAATATTCATTCATTCACTTATTCACACATTCATGACCAATATTGCTGAGCAAGGCCATGTCCCACATTCTGGAACAAAAAGGTGAGCAACACCGGCATGGTCTCCGCTCTGGGAGCTTACAGTCTAACGTGCGAGACAATAAAACATCTGGAATACTGGGGGGTAAACCCCACGATGAGAGACCTAGAGAGCGCCACAGAACCAACGAGCAGGGATCTAAGTCGAAGGGGGTCAGAGGAAGTTCCCTGGAGGAAATGACACGTATCCTAAAACCAGAAGAGCAAGCTGGGAGTAACCAGAACTTGGCGAGCTGGCGGAGAACGAGCCGTTTTCTAGGCAGGAGAGCCTTACAACAGCTCAGCAGAGAAACGGGCATGCAATTGTGGAAGAGAGGGGCCAGCTCAAGAGGAGCGCCTGTGCAAACCGGAAAGCCGACGAAGGGTGTCTGGCAGGGAGCGAGCGCTCAGATGTGCGGGGCGAGCGCAGGAGCGAAGGGCAGCGCGGAGGCCAGCAGGCCGCTGCGTGCCAGCCTCCGCTCAGGAGACGGCAAAGGCCCGGGCGGCCACAGTCAGGAGACAGCAGGCAGCATCAGCTGGGCCTGCACGACTCCATGTGGGGCGAAGGGCTCAAGGATGAAGTCAAATATGGAGGCAGTAAGCGTAATGGTGAGAACAGGAGCTGTGGAATCAAACGGTAATTCCTAGTCATCTCAGTGCTGGCTTGAGTGGCTGTCGCTGCCACTCCTGAGAAAGAGGACGCAAAAATACTTTTTTTAGGGGGTAGAGACAAGATGAAAAGATCAACTTGGACTCAAAACATTTAGGGTCACATCAAATACCTATGTGGCATGTCCAATAAACAGATCTATAGTTTCGAAGTTTGGGAGTGTTAATATGTATATGGAATTTTTATGGGAGAGAGAATAAAAACATAAAGCAAGGACAAGGACCCTGAAGAACTAACTGTTTTGGGCATTTCTTTTGTAAGTCACACGGTGCCTTGGACATAGTAGATGATCAGTACTTATTAGCTGTTACTAACGACGTTGATAAGTGGGGGAAATAATCTTTGCATGCTCTGTATAGAAATAGGCTAAGGGTAAACATGATACTATATAAAAGCTACCAACTATTTGAAATAAAAATGTAAATATTGATAATACTATCCTCAGTTATTTAAAAAAATCCCTCTACTACTTTTTTTCTCATTATACGATTAAAAGTGTTCATTTTTAAATACCTAAGATTATAAATATATATATAACACAGAAAATAAGAGTCTTGTTATTTCCCCTCTGAGGAAAAAAAAAGTTAAAATAGGTCTATATTGTTTCAATGTGGATGTGTTTTCCCATCAAATAACTACACAAATTATAGTTTTAAAAAATGGGGACAGTCTCCATTATTATTTAGTTTTCATAGTGACAGCATGAAAAAAACCTGTAATTTAATCATTCTCCTCTCATGAGATATTCAGGATATAGAGATAAAGCAGATTAAAAGGAAAGAAGTCAAAGAACTTGTTTAGATAGAAATTCTGAGCATCAACTAAAACTTTAAGAGTCATACAACTCTAATACTTCCTACAAGATTCAGATGACTTTTAAAATGACTTCCTGTTAGCCAGCTATATGTCAAAAGTGTTTAGCTCCTGAAGGTTTATGTCTGAGAACAGCCAGAGAATAAGTGATGACCTAGAAAAAGGACAGAACAATGAGCCAGAGCCGACTGGCAAGGTCAAGCTGGTGGCACCACCTGGACTACTGATGAGTGACAGTTGCCAACAACGTCTCTTTCTCCAACCCCACAAACCCCACAAACCCCACAAACCCCGCAGTCCTGGAGTCCGAGCAAGGGCAGCTGGCCAATCCTCTCCTCCACCTCCCTGCACTTACCATGACCACCCATTCTAAGGATGGCACTATTAGTACAACCCATTTTAACTGCAGTGATTTAAAGATTTCCTAAAAATAAATAGTTCTCTTCCCCCTTACTTAGGAGAATCGCTTAGAAAGCACGTCAATAATTAAATTAAAACATGTAATTGAATTGATAGCAAGATGCTTTTTTAAAGGAGCGAACTCCCATGTTTACTTCAGCTTGTGCTGGCTAGCGAAATAATCCCACTGCTTTTTCTCCATTAACCGTCACGTGACACAACAGGAGAAGGCAACATCTAACCCTGCAAGTTGTCTTAAAATGCTCTCTCTCCAAGTTATACAGGATCATAAACAAACTGTAGAAAGTACTGAAGGAGAGAAGAAAGAAAGAGAAAGGCTTTAATTTCCAAATTCCTAAATGTGCTGATCACTTCTGGGCACTACTCCAGGTAATATGACTGACATAAAAACTTTACACCAAATAATTCAGAAGTAGCAAGAACAAAACCCAAACCCGCTAAGTACAGAGAGCCATCTAAAAATAGGAGACCAGAAATACATGAGTGTGTGCTTTGATCCGTAATACCACCTTTAGAAAATGATTCTAAAAAAATAATTAAGGATGTGTTGAAAAACTTTGCTGAAATGTATTAAGCTCAACATTTTTTGTCATAGAAAAAAATGTAAACAGCCCGAATTTCCACACTGCACTATTCATACAGCGAAATACTGTATAGCCTCTTGAAATAATATGGAGAAGTTTGATATTTATTAATAATGGGAAGATTTTCATATCAGTGGTTAGTCAAAATAGCAGATTATAAAAGATATGGAAAGCATGATGCTTATTTCTATACACAGGTGCATGTATCTTGAAATAAAATAGGTAAAATAAAAACATATGACTACATTACCATTTCTTGATTTGAGATCTCTGTGAATGACCTTGACAGGAGCTTCCATATGTAAATAGTGCATTCCTTTTTATACAAGAAGGAAGAAAGGCTTATTAATATTATTTTTCAACATCATATCAATATTACCTTTCTATTTTAAACATCAGCATTACCATTCATATTTTGCAAAGGATTCAATAAAATAGAGACAAAGATGTGTCTACATTAGGACTGATAAAAGAGAGACAAGATATATCTACATAAGGCAAATGTATATGCTAAGGAAAATATATGTGCTTTGATCGCTCAGAAGTTGAAATTTGATGGTGGGTAAAGCTAGCTTCTTACAATGCCTAATAAGGACACCTTATTTTCTGGAGTCTGCACAAAAATAGCACAGTTACAACTGGAAGAATTGTTCCAATGACTAAGGTATTCCACTACCAACTTCTAAATCGGTAAGTTCTGACCGAGGTGTTCCGTTTTCATTTGGATGTCTGCAGTCACCCAGTTAGTTCCAGCTTGGCTCATTTTCTCGGAGCTCATTCCAGTGAGACCCTGGGGGTGGCGGTGGGGTTGGGCAGACAACTGGCTGGATGCATTAGCTGTGGTTGCTAAGGGATTTTATGATTCTCAGAAAAAAATATATAGTAGTTAGAAAATATTTTATTCTTTTTATAAGAATAAACCTTTGAGATAATCTATACTTATAGGCACTCCAGAATCCTCTTCAACATGTTTAGAATATAAATCAAATTACTTCAGTAAACTGATACACATATACTAAGTAGAGTTTTATTGTTTTGAATAAAAACTTATACATTGAAAGACACATATTTCACACTTACCCTTTAATAGTTTGACTCTTTTTTTTTTTTTTTTTTACTTGTGGATTGACTACCTCCTTAGAATAAAGAAAAAGAACATCTCTACTGAAAATGTTCTCTCCCTTTACTTCTCACACTGCCTTTTCTAAGTAATAGAATAGCTCCCCCCTTGCAAATTAGGCTCCTTTTTAAAATAAATTATCCGTTAAACATAATTTAATAACTAGGCTTTGGTTCTTTTTTAAGTACATAAAAAACTTTAATTTTATAAAGCTAATCGTAAAAATAATCTATTATTTTCTACTATTCTGATTATTACATATTGAAGACTCATAAAAGAACAAAGACTATAAAAAAAATTTAACTTCTGCCATGTAAAGATATTCCTGAAAAGAGTCAACTTAACAAAAGTATTAGTAATTTAAATGATCTTAAACAAGATGTAATAGGAATAATGGAAATCTAATATGAAGTTCTGCATACTATAAACTGTGAAAACTCAATAGCTACAATTTGGGTAACTTTTAATAATTTTTTGACTGAATTTCATAGTTATATCTCTCTTGATTTAAGAATCAAATTCCTGATTTTTTTTTTCCAGGTAAAACTGCTTTAGTTACTTTTAGAGGTAGAATAGTTAGTTTCTACACTTGTGATAAGTAAGAATTAAAAAAAAAATCATTCAAGTACAAAAGCTTTAAACATGGACACTTTTCTCCTCATGGCAGATATTATGAGAAGCAGCATAAATTATTTGTATGAAATGCACAGCATACACTCACAGAATGTTTAGTGTTCATAAACACAGTAGTAATCACAATCATATAAAATTCTATTTAATTTGTTTTTATAGAGCCATCTGTAATTCTGCCTTATTTTTATTGCAAACAATTAAGAAGGCTAAAAATACCTTCATCAGATTCAAGGTTTCCTAAAAAAGATTTCACTGGTGTCACCTAGAAGAGATTTGGAATCAATGACCGTTTTGAGAATGGATGCAGGTTTATCTGCTTTATATTTGCTGACTGACTTGCAAAAATTTCAGATATACCTGCTGGCCTGTCTCCTCCACTCCTCTCTCTACCCAGAAAGAAGAGAATCTTTTTGGTTTTGAGAAGGTATTGTTTCTTCAGTGATGTTAAGCACTATCTGTCAAAATGCACGAACCAACTCTTACTTAAAATGAGTTATTTGTTCTTTGATTTCTCAACATCTTGATGCTATAGTGGCTTCAATCCTGGTCAAACTGAAAGGTACATAGCTGAATTTGTAAGGGAATCAGAGAAAATCAAGCCTTCCTATTTAATCTCCAAGTTCGACACAGAGCTTTATCAGAGAGGTCTGAAGTCATTCCAATAGCATTAATTTCTTCTTCCTTGTATAGGCCACTTTACATAAGAAGTATTACTTGTAACTGTAAGCAAACAAGTCTCCTCTTTGCCTCATTCTACTCAGCTTTGGCCAAACACATGAGAACTGGCCTTTCGGATCAATTCACCAGCCACAAAAACATGATCTTATTACTTTGTAGTTTTAGACACTGTCCCATGGTCCACATCCCTTCTCTCCATCCCTGTTCTTTACCTCTGGTTCCAGTTTGCTACTTAGTTCTGTTCCTTCTCTTCTTTGTCCTCCTGGTACAGAGAGCCAACGGTCTTAAAACACCCCAGGAATGACTGAGCTGACCTGGAGTCAAGGGCCCAGCCCTCAGACAGGGACTATGCAGGGGAAGGGCCCCGGAGGGATGAGGTTAGGGGCTGGGGGCCAGGCAGGCTTAAGTAGAGTGTGCACAGCAGAGTGACAGATGTCAGCTGACTTATTGGCTGTCTATCCATCCTAAGTGCCATTAAGTAACAATATAGGTGTTACTGGCTGAGCACCCAAAATGCAAAGGTCTGTAAGGTGAAGTGTTTTAAGTCAAGGACTGCCTGTATATGTATTCACATTTGTGTCTGTGCATTTCCACAGTGTTTCAGGCCGTTCCCAATAATAGCACATCACCCTGCTTATAAGCAGGTGGTTCCGGTGTACTACTGACAAGCAGAGAAGTGACTATGATGTTACATGAAAATCTCTGGAAGAATGGGAAGTTTTAAGGCTCATCTGAGAGGCTTGATGTTATGAATACACAATTAAGTTAATTAACACAGCCAAAGCCTTAAGTACACCATCCTAAACGTACAGCATATTATTCTTACAAGGTAATGAAGTATCATTCAGCAGCAGCATTTAGCATGAAACTTAATTTTTTCTCCCCACTTTATTTGAAGAATTTGGCAGGTGTTATTGAAACTTAAAACAGACATGATAATTGCCCAAAGGAAAGACTATTACTGTATGACTTCCCAGTGAATGCAAAGTAGGAGCTGCCCTCCTTGAGTGTTAACTGTCCTTTTATTTGCTTTTTAAAGAGATGCTTATAGAATCTGGAATTGCAAAACTCAAAGAAGTTAATTGCCCCAGTAAAATGTGGACACACTTGCTTTCTAGAGGTTGCTAGAATACAAATGTAACTATCAGTGTTCATTATTTAGATTATGTTGTTTCCAAAGCAACTTTGACAGTTATAAATAAAACTCAGAAATGTTCAGTTAAGAAAATGGAAAAAAAAGATAAAAATAAATGGAATTTAAATTGCTTCAGAAAGCATTAGTCTATGCAGGAATTTATGAGGGAAAAAGAATTGGGCACCTTGTTTAGGGATTTTGTATATTAAAAATATATCATTTCTAAGGGTGATTTCCAAGTTTACATTAAATATAAAATAAAATTTGAATTGCTTGTACATGGCAGAACAAATAAAACTTTTTTTGCAAGTGGTTACTATGTTTAGTATATTATTATGTATACACAATGAGCAGAACTAATCCTGCAATAAATCACATTTTCTGGATACTGAGTCTAAGTAGAGACTTGCAGAACAATAATAGGAATATGATCTTTCCACTTAATGTGTCAAGCAAGCTGGTCAATTACAATGGCACAAAATGTGGTAAAAATGGCTGCCCTGGAGCCACTGATTTTAGGGAAAGAAATAAAGTAAAAAAAGTAAAGAGAGAAAAATGAATGCATGAGTGGAAAGCCAATGACCTAAAATATTATCTGTACAGTAAGTTGCAGAATTCTTGCTACCTTTGTTCTGAAAAAAAGAAGAACATCTAAAAGACACAGAATAACAAATCTTCTGACTTAAATCACCATGTCAGGATGGGAAAATGCTTCCCACCAATTCTGCAAGAATACACGAAACATTAGTATTACCTTTGGCTACATCAGTGGCCCAGGTCATAATGTGTTCCATGTCCATCTCTTCACTTTTGTTACTGTTAATGTAATCATACAGTGATCCCAGGGAGGCATATTCTATTTTTAATGGAAATATAAGCATATAATTAAAACTCAGGTACATTTCATAAATAAGATTATATTTTCATTGGGAAGAGGTTGTATTGAAGAACTTAACAAGAGACATCAAAAGTATATAAAGTTGTTCCATGTTGTGGTTTCTAAAAATTAGTACTATACTGGAAAGAAAATTGTCAAAGACAAGCACTAACAGAATGAATGATAACACTTCAGACAAAGAAAAAATCAAAAGCCATTTGGATGGAACTCAGAAACATAGATGTGTTGGAAGAATGTATATGAAACCAAGGCAGACATGTAAATAGGTATTTCTTTAAAAACTGTTATTCTTGCCCTGGTCGGTTTGGCTCAGCGGTTAGAGCGTCGGCCTGTGGTCCAGAGAGACCAGAGTTCGGTTCCCACTAAGGGCATGTACCTCGGTTGCAGTTTGTCCCCAGCCCTGGTTGGGTCGTGCGTGTGGCAGCCACTCGATGTGTCCCTTTCACGTCGATGTTTTTCTCTCTCTCTCTCTCTCTCCACCTTTTTCTCCCTTCTACTCTATCTGAACAAAAAATGGAAAAATGTCCTCAGATGAGGATTAAAAAAAAAACAACCAAAAAACTGTTATTCTTATACAACAGATAAGATTAAACACAAATCAGAGAGTTTACATGACAATCAACCTTGTTGCACCAGAATGTAGAACAGCCCTTAAGATTAAGCACAATGGCCAAGAAAATGAGACAATGCCTTTAAAAATGGCTTTGAGGTATAAATTACCTACCATAAAATGCACTCACTACAAGTATACAATTTGATGATTTTTAGTAAATTTACAGAGTTGAGCAATCACAACCACAATGCAATTTTAGAACCTTTCCATCATCATTCTAAACATTTCCCTGTGTGCATTCAGTTATTCACCACTTTCAGTCTGTTTTCTATGTGCCTTTTCTAGATAGTTCATATAAATGGAATCTACAATATGTGGCCTTTGGGTCTTTCTCTTTGTGTTCTTTCTCTTCACAGAATGCTTACAAGGTCCATTCATACTGTAGCAAGTTATCAGCACTACATTCCTTCTTATTGCTGAATAATATTTCATCATATGGATTCACAACATTTTGTTTACTCATTACCACTTGATAGACATTTGGATTGTTCCCAGGTTTTGGCTACAATGAATAATACTGTTATGAAGATTTGTGTCAATATCTTTGTGTAAAAATATGTTTTCATTTCTTTTGGGTAGATTCCTAGGAGTGACATTCTGGGACATATAGTAAATTGAACTTTTAAAGAAACTCAAATGTTTGTTTTCTAAAGAAATTGTGTTATTTTATATCCCCACTAGCAACATATCAGGGGTTCAGTTTCTCCACATTCTCTTGGGTATAGTCTGTGTTTTTTATTACAGCCATTATAGTGGGTATAATTCTAATGTTATCTCATATTTTTAATTTGCATTTTCCTAGTGACTAATGAAGTTGAACACAGTTTCATGTGCCTATTAGCCCCTTGTATATATTCATAGGCAAAATATCTATTTACATCGTCATTTTTAAATTGGGTTGTTTTATTGAATTCTAAAAGTCCGTTAATTATTCTGGGGGCAAGTCATTTATCAGATTTATGATGTGCAAGTATTTTCTTTCAGTCTGTTACTTGTCTTTTCATTTTTTTTTATCATCTTTCAAAAACAGAATTTATTCATTTTGTCAAATTTATCAACTTTTCTTTTCTGGATTGTGCTTCTGTGTCATCTCTAAGAACTCTTTGCCTGACCCAAAGGTATGAAGGCTTTCATTGTTCCTTCTAAGAGTTTTTTAGTTTTACCTCTTGCACTGGAATCTATGACCCATTTTGAGTGTGTCTTTGTGTATAGTTTGCGGTGAGGGTCTAAGATAATTTTTACATGTGAATACCTAATTGTTTCAGCACAATTTGTTGAAAAAACTATCCCTTATCTATTAAATTGTCTTGGCACCTTTGTTGAAAATCAACTGATGATCAGTGTAAGTTTATTTTCCCCTTAAATTCTTAATTTCTGTTCCATTGATCTATATGTCTATAATCGTTCCAATAATAACTATGTAGTTACTGCGGATTTATAGTAAGTTTTGAAATGAAGCAGTCTAAGTACTCAAACTTAGTTCTTTCTTCAAACTGATTTGGTTATTCTAGGTCTTTTGCATTTCCATGTGAATTTTATGATCAACTTGTCAATTTCTGACAAATAGTCTGCTGGGATTTCTAGAGGAATTATTTTGAATGTATTGCCTCAATTTGGGGAGAATTACCATCTTGACAATTTTGAGTCTTTCAAACCATGAACACATGATGGTTCTCCATTTATTTAGATATTTATTTTCTCTCAGCAATGTTTTATATATTTCATTGTACAAACCTTACACTTCTTTTGTTAAATTTATGCCCAACTATATTTTATTATTTTTGATACTACTGTGAATGGAATTGTTTAATTTTTAGATTATTCATTACCAGCATATAGAAATATAATATATTTTTGTATATTGATTTTGCTAAATATATTTACAAGTTTTAGTAGGTTTTTTGTGTATTCCTTGGAATTGCCTACATACAGAATCATGTCATTTAAGACAGTTGTACTTTTTCCTTACAAATCTGGATGACTTATTTTCTTCTTGCCTGGTTTCAATGTTGAACAGATGTGGTGAGAGCAGAACCTCAATGCTTTGTTCCTTATCTTAGGGGGAAAACATTCAAATTTTCACCATTAAGTATGATGTTAGTTGTGGGTTTTTGTAGATGCTATTAATCAGCTTGAGAAAATTCCCTTCTATTCCTAGTCTATTTAGATTTCTTATTGTTAATAGGTGTTGTTGAATATCAAAAAATTTTTTTAATTTAATTATTTATTATACTACCTTATATTAATGGGTTTCAGATGTTAAACCAACCTTGCATTTTTGGAATAAATTCCATTTGGTCATGATGTACAGTCCTTTTTATGAGTGGCTGAATTCAGTTTGCTGCTGATGATAATAAGACTGTAATTAAGGATTTTGCATCTATGTTCATGAGGAAATTTGGTCTATTGTTTTCTTATGTTTTTGACTGCTTTGGGTATCAGGATGATACTGGCCTTTTAGAATAAGTTGGTAACTGTTCCTTCCTCCTCTATTTTCTGAAAAAATATGAGGAATATTTGTGTTATTTCCTCTTTCTTCTATAAACATTTGATAGAAATCATCAGTGAAATCATCTGGGTCTTGGCTTTTATTATGGAAACAATGTTAAATTACAAATTCAAATTTCTTTATTTGTTATAGGTCTATTCAGATTTTGTTTCTTCTTAAATCAGTTTCAATAATTTTGTATCATCTAAAAAATTCATTCATTGTATTTAAATTGTCCAATTTGTTGGCATAAAGTTGATCATAACATTCCCTTACAATCCTTTTAAATTTCTGTAGGGGCCATTCCTGATTTGGTAATTTGTATTTTCTTTCTTTTGTCTTGGTTAATATAGCTAAAGGTTTGTCAGTTTTACTGATGTTTTCAAAGACCAAATTTTTAGTTTCACTGTTTTTCTCTGTTATTTTTATGTTTTCTATTTTATTGCATTCTGCTCTAATTTTTAGTTTCTTTCATTAGTTTGCTTTGGTTTATTTTGTTCTTTTTTAGTTTCTTAAAGTGATCAACTTCAGAACTTTCTTCTTTTTTGACACAGATGTGTAAAGCTATAAATTTCCTTTTCTTGTATGCACTGTATAATTTTAATATGTTGCATTTTCTTGTTCAAATACCTTTAAATCAATTTCGATGTCTTCTTTGACTCACTGGGTATTTAGAAATGTGTTATTTAATTCCAAATATTTGGGGATTTTCCAGATTTCTTTCTGCTATTGATTTTTAACATAATTACATTATGGGTGGAAAATAGATATTGCATTGTTTCAATCCTTTTAGATGTAATAAGATTTATTTTGTGACCTAACTAATAATGTATCTTGGAGACTGTTCCACGTGCACTTGAAAAGATTACGTATTCTTTGCTGGGTGGTGTGTTCTATATATGTGAGTATGTGAGTTAGGTTCAAGTTGGTTGAGTGTCAAGTCTTCTATATCATTGCTGATATTTTTTGTCTAGTTGTGCTATCAATTATTAACAGTAGGATACTGAAAATAGTTGAATTGCTATTTTTCCTTTAAACTCTGTCAGTTTTTGCTTCATATACTTTGAGGACTTGTTGTTAAGTATATACATTTACAACTGCTAGTATCTTCCTGGTGTGTTAATTTTTTCATCATGCAATGACTTGTCTCTAGAAATATTTCTCTTTTTAAGTCTATTTTGTCTGAAATTAATATAGTTATTCCACTTTTCTCATGGATATTGTTTGCATGCTATAGGTTTTTCCATCCTCTTACTTTTCAATGATTGGTGTCTTTTTGTTGTTGTTGTTAATCCTCACCCGGGAATATTTTTTCCGTGGATTTTTAGAGAGTGAAAGGGAGGGAGGTGAGGGGTAGGGAAGAGAGAGAAAGAGAGAAACATGAATGTGAAAGAGACACATTGATTGGTTGCTTCCCGCATGCACCCTTACTAGAGCCAGGGATTGAACCTGCAACCCAGGTACGTACCCTTGATCAGGAATTGAAGGTAGGACCCTTTGGTGCATAGGCCGACACTCTAATCACTGAACAACACCAGCCAGGGAAATTATTGGTGTATTTGAGTCTAAAATGTGTCTCTTGTAGAGAGTATATAGTTGGATCTTGCTTTTTTTTTTTTTTTTTTAAATCCAGTCTAATAATCTCTGTCTCTTGATTGGGGTGTTTAGATCATTCACATTTAATGTAACCACTGATATTGTTGGATTTATATATACCATCTTGTTTTCTACATGCCTCATGTCCTTCTCACTCCTTTATTCCTTCTTCTGCATTAATATTTTTAATTTGTCATTTTAATTTCTCAGTTGATTTTTTACAATATTTCTTCAGTAGACTTTCTTAGTGGCTCAAGGAATTATAAAATGCATCTTAATTTAGCACAATCTAGTTTAATTAATATTCTTTTTAAAAAAATATATTTTTATTGATTTTTTTTGAGAGAGAGAGGAGGGGAGAAGGAGAAAGAGAACCATTGATGTGAGGGAGAACCATTTATCAGCTGCTTCCTGCACACCCCCTACTTGGGATCAAACCCTCAACCTGGACATGTGTCCTGACTGGGAATCGAACCAGCAACCTCTTGGTGCATGGGTCAATACTCAACCACTGAGCCACACCAGCCAGGCAGATTAATACTCTTAATTATAACAAAATATATCACTTTTATCTAAATTGGCTCCTTTCCTTCCTTCATTCCTTATGCTATTACTGCAATAAATATCTATATATCCTTCAAAGTGAACAGTGTTATAACTATTGCTTTACACAATCTTATGTTAAGAGAATGATGTAAAGAGAAGAAATGAGAGCAAATATATTATGAAGCCTTTTATATTAACCCATATATTTGGCATTTCCAGTACCCTTTGTTTCTTTGCATGAATTTAAATTACTGTTGTCATTTTTTCAGCTTGAAGGATTAGTATTTCTGGTAAGGCAGGACTGCTAGCAAGAGATTCTTTCATCATTTATCCAAGAGTGCCTTTATTTTTATTTAATTTTTAAGAGATAATTTGGCTGGATACAGTTTTTTCTTTTAGCACTTTAAATGTCTACTGTCTTTTGGCCTCTATTGTTGTAGATGAGAAGTCAATCATTAATCATATTGCCATTCCCTTGTACATGAGAAGTTGTTTTCTTGCTACTTTCAAGAATTTTCACTTTGACTTTATCAACAGTTTGACTATAATGTGTCTAGGTGTGAGTTCTTTTGCCTTTATCCTACTTGGAATTCATTAAGTTTTTCAAGTATTCAGAAAGATTTTGGCCATTATTTCTTCAAATATTTTTCTTTTCTTTTTTCTTTCTTTCTATTTTTATACCCCTCTTCTCTTCTTTCTTTAATATTATACATTAATTGGTATACTTGATGTTGTCCCATAGTCTCTGAGGTTCTGTTTATTCTTCTTCATAGTTTTTCTTTTTTTCAGATTAAATAATTTCTGTTGACCTAGTTTTAAGTTCACTGATTTGTTTTCTTCTGCTATCTCAAATATGCTGTTAACTCAACTCTAGAGAATTTTACATTTCAATTATTGTCTTTTTCAACTCCAAAAATTTCACTGGGTCCTTTTTTGTTGTTGCTGTTAACCCTTACCCAAGGATATTTTTTCCACTGATATTTTAAAGAGAGAGTAAAAGGGAGGGAGGGAGAGAGAGAAAGAGAGAGAGAGAGAGAGAGAGGGAGAGAAATATCAATGTGAGAGAGACACATCAATTAGTCGCCTCCTGCATAACCCTGACTAGGGCCGGGGATTGAACCTGCAACTCAGGTACATGCCCTTGACCAAGAATCAAACCCATGACCCTTTGGTCTGTGGGCTGACGCTTTAACTGCTGAGCCAAATCAGTTAGGGCTCACTGGGTCCTTTTTAAAAAATAATAATAATTTCTGTCCATTTGATGAGATTCCCTATTGTTTGATTCATTGTTTTCATACTTTCCTTTAATTCTTTAAACAGTCTCTTTTGGTTCTCTGAACACATTGATACTGTTATATTTTTGTATTTTAAATCCAATATGTTCATTTATTTTATTTTATTTTTTTCTTATCCTCACCCGAGGACATTTTTCCATTTTTTGTTCAGATATAGCGGGAGGGAGAGAGAGGAAGAGAGAGAGAGAGAAACATCGATGTGAAAGGGACACATCGAGTGGCTGCCACCTGCACGACCAACCAGGGCCGGGGACAAACTGCAACCGAGGTACATGCCCTTAGCGGGAACCGAACCCGGGTCTCTCTGTACCGCAGGCCGACGCTCCAACCGCTGAGCCAAACCGGCCAGGGCCAATATGTTCATTTAAAGAGGCAGGATAAATGCTATCATCCCCTAACTGATCTAGTCTCCCATCTCTGCTCAGTTATGTGCTGCAACCCATGCACAGAATATAGATTGATCCTAAAGATGCAGAAGGTTGGTTGAAAAGTTCATAAATTTCTTTGGTAGACGCTTGTAAACAGACAATTAAAACTAGAATCTTTAAAAACAAAGACAAATCAATACATTTTAAAACATCAAAACTTGGCTTAAGAGGTATCTTTAAAAATCAACCTCACATGCTCTGGCTGGTTTGGCTCAGCGGTTGGAGCATCAGCCTGTGGACCAGAGAGTCTCAGGTTTGGTTCCTGCTAGGGGCATATACAAAAAAAAAAAAAAAAAAATCAACCTCACAGGTCAACAAAAAAAGCTATAAATACCCAGTTTACTATTACCTCACAATTCTGAAACTTGTGCTGTTTTTATTTTTTTTGTTGTTCAGATAGAGTGGGAGGGATAGAGAGAGAGAAACATTGATGTGAAAGGGACACATCGAGCAGTTGCCACCCACACGGCCAACCAGGGCCAGGGACAAACTGCAACTGAGGTACGTGCCCTTAGCAGGAACCGAACCCGGGTCTCTCTGGACCGCAGGCCGACGCTCTAACTGCTGAGCCAAACCGGCCAGGGCAAATTGTGCTGTTTTAAAAGAAATATTTAAGGTTACTTATTGGCCTTATAGGTAAATAAATATAGATCTAAAAAGAACTAGTCACTGATAACCAAAGATTTGGGGTAGGTATAGGTATGAGTAGAGACTATTAGAAGGGTGTATAAAATAAAGGACTGTCTAGTCTGTCTATACTATACTATACAATACAATACAATACAATACAATACAATACAATACAATACAATACAATACAATACAATACGTAAAATCAAACATATTCACCCAACCACCTGTATTCTTTCTCCCTCTTTTGGATGAGAAGACCCAGTTTGAATCTGCTGGCTAAAACTGACTATGTTTCATATCCTCCTGGGGATGGAGAGTAAACTCTTGGAAAAAGAATTCACATCATGACCCAAGTCTCTTTTTTCTACTTTGCATCCTCACCTCAAAAGGAACTAGAAAATGTCATGAATAGTCCACTGAATGAGTTAAAGTTAAAACCTTATCCTCAAAAGCATTAAACATAAAGGGTACAAGATAAGATGCAGAGTCTCTAACCTCTTTGGAACATCACACTTTCATCTGCTAGATAAGAATAAATTAAACTACAACTGAGGATCAGAAAACTGGAGTCAGACTTATAAGGTAAACACAACCAGTAAAAAGTAAATACAATGGACTAGGAAACAAGGAGCAATATGGGAACTGGGTCAGAGACAGGGTTTAAAATAAAAATCTGACCTAAAAGGTTAAGCATATTTTAGACCCTAACAATGTAACCCATTCCTGAGTATTCAAGTTAATAGGAAATATATAAGCTGAAGGTAAAAACTGCCATATATACCTCATTTTAAGCATAGATCTTAAGATAGCTAATTGAGGATTAAGTACTCACTATTTAAGAACTTAGGTAAAAGTACTACTTATCAGAGTAAAGGCATGTTAAAATGCCCACTCTCAGAAGATAGAAATAATAGCAACCACTCCCTTTGAGCTTAAGAACCAGGATAATCATAGCTTGCATACAAGAGGAACCTCTGTACAAAATCAATCTGAGAAATTTCTACCATTCTGGTTCTAGACTAGCTGGATGACCTTGGGAAAGTTACTTAAGTTAGTTTTAGGTTCTTATTTATAAATCAGAAATTATTTTACGTATCTCATAGGGTTATTGTATTAGATGAGATAATTTATAAGAAAGTATCTAATCCAATTCTTTTTATTGAGGGTGTTTAGTTGTTATTTTCTATAAAGAGAATCCCAGTTCTTACCATTACAATAAAAGAAGATAGGGCTGATCTTTTAAGGTTTTTTTTGTTTATTTTGTTTTAATCAAAGAAATGCCATGATAAAAAACCTGATCAAACTGTAATTTTACTGTAAAATTAAACATTATACTTATTATATACCTAAAGCAGCTGACTGGATTGTACAAACATGAGTATAAAGTACTTAAAGAATATGTCTGTGTTTTTACATGGCAAAATATTCTGCGTGCTCCTTTTTGGGAAGGACATTTCCATTCGTTATAAACTGCTGTTTCAAATTACGTGATAATTTAGAGCAAGGTTATTACCAACCCAGATGACCAAACCTGAGAAATATTGTTCTCATGTCAGAGACCTTGAAGAAAAAATTCTCTAATGGGAATAAAATTCCTTGCAAAGAATTATAACATGAATAGCTCAAGAAATCTTAATTTGTAAAAGGTCACAGAGTTACAAAAAACATCGCTCATTTCAACTAATTAAATGAAATTTTAGTTAAACGGCACCTTTAAATATTGGTATTGCAGCTGCAAGCACATTTAAATAGCATTTACACAGATATAATTAGCACAATTAAACATGGGTAGAAGTGGAAACACCATTCTTAATTATATTGATATAATCAGTTTTATTAATGCTTTATAGCAACAAAAGTGACATCTGACAGTAGCACACAATTCATGACTGAACCTAATATTAAACATTTTAGCATATTAAGGAACCTAAAGCTAGGTAACTAGGGAAAGAAAACCAAATAATGAGTTCCTACCTGTGACGATGCCATAGTTGGGAGGCTCAAGAACTACTCCATAAAACTGGATGATGTTTCTGTGACTGAGGACACTGAGTATTTCCGCCTGTATAAAAAGGAAATATAAAATATTTCACATTTATAAATGTGTAATAAAATAGGTTTCCTAATTTTCTTTTACATACATTTACAAAGATATATATATATGACCTCAACAAGTATGTGATGCTGATAAAACTCTGTCTTTAGCAGCATTTCTGAAAGTTTAAGAATGTCTATGGAAGCTTTCTGAAAATTAAAACTGAAATGAGGTTGAAATGGCAATAAGAGAGGTGCCTACCTGCCGGCCAGCACCACTGCGAGTGGAGGGGGGCCACTGAAGGGGGAGACACCATATTTACTTAGAGTAAAAGTCCTCTTCTTAATAGTCAAATGTAGTTTTTCGGCATAATGTCCTTTCTGGGAGGCTGCAGCAAGACCGAACTCTAACAGTTGGATGAGTAGTCATGATAAAATTAAGGCAGAGGTTTTTATCTATTAATGGAATAGATTCAGGTAATATCCATTTACATTATTTATCTAATCACTGGTTAAAAATGTTATTTCTGGCCCTGGCCGGTTTGCTCAGTGGTTAGAGCATCGGCCTATGGACCAGAGAGTCCTCGGTTCGGTTCCTGCTAAGGGCACGTACTTTGGTTACAGTTTGTCCCCAGCCCCGGTTGGAGTCATGTGGGTGGCAACCATTCAATGTGTCTCTCTCACATCAATGTTTCTCTCTCTTCCTCCTTTTCTCCCTCTTGCTCTATCTCAAGATAAATGCAAAAATGTCCTCAGGTGAAGATTAAAAACAAAAAATGTCATTTCTGGCCCTTGCCAGGTAGCTCAATTGGTTAAAGTGTCTTCCCCACAGTCCAAGGTTGTGGGTTCAAATCAACCAATGAATGCATAAAACTAAGTAGAACAACAAATCCATGTTTCTCTCTCTCTCTCTCTCTCTCTCTCTCTTCTTCTCTACAATCAATAAGAATGTTTAAAACTGTTATTTCTCTCCTACTATATGCAAATGTTCTATAAAGGATATAAAAGTGGATTACTGACTTAACAGTGGTGACTTGATAGGGAAGCCATACTTTACATTTTGAAATGTATTAAATACTGGAAAACTGTACTGCAGAGTGACATGGTAAAAAATAAATTATAAGTATTAAACTTAATATCTGAAGTGAAAAAACCGAGATAGTACAACTTATATCTGCTAATGTCTATAGAAGGACATTCTCTAGGTTGACTAAATCCCATTTAGTTATTAAAATTTTTTTCTTTTGTGGAGATAAAATATGGCTAATCAAGAATTATAAACAATTGGGCACAAAGTCATATGTAAGTTAAATATAGTAAATGTTTAATATTTTAAAATGAAAGGCATGTTGTTGGCAGTAAGTAAATAGGAGATTTATAAGTCCCCACCCCAGAAAAGGGATCATGAACAGTGTCGGCAATTAATGAAAACGAAGACTTGGTCGGAAAGAAGACTCCCCTTTAGACAGGGGTTCAATATGGAAAAAATTACCATGGATTGGATGAGATATTTATCAAGGAAGGCTTGACAATGCTTTTCTTTTAATAATATAGGTGTGGAGGGGGGCTATCAAAATGATTTCTTAAGACTCACTGAGTGCTTATTGTGTGTGGAGGTTCTGTGCTCATCAAGCAATCTTATTCTCATACTTTAGTTTGAGGAAGAAAATGCATTAATTGGGCAATAAAATTATTCATCCATGTGGCAATTATATTTCTCATTAAGAAACAGTAAATGAATTTTGTTGTAAAAAAACAGAGTTCAAGTTGTCCTGGACAGTGTGGCTCAGTGGTTAGAGTGTTGGCCCTTGGACTGAAGGGTCACGGGTTCAATTCTTGGTCAAGGGCATGTACCTGGGTTGCGGGCTGGGGTCGTGCAGGAGGCAACCAATCGATATGTCTCCCTCACATCAATGTTTCTCTCTCCCTCCTACTCTATCTAAAAATTAATGGAAAAATTATTTTTTAGGATTTGGGTGAGGATTAACAACAACAAAAAAAGCAGAGTTCGTGTAAAGTTTGGAAATCATAACCCCTCCCTCCCCCTTTTAGTGGCTGATAACTCTTTGTGAGTAAAGCATGAGAGTTTTAGACTAGTATTTGTCAAAATAGGGGAATGTTACCCTTTGGTATATTTTGGTATATTCTTTGGGTTATCTAAATTCTGTGACCATTAAAAACATTTTTATTACCCTGGCTGGTCTGACTCAGCAGTTAGAGTGTCAGCCCATGGACCAGAGGGTCGCAGGTTTGATCCCTGGCCCTGGATGGGGTCATGCAGGAAGCAACCAATCAATGTGTCTCTCTCACATCAATGTTTCTTTCTTCTTCTCCCTCCTTCCCTTCCACACTCTCTCTAAAAATCAATGGAAAAATATCCTCCGGTGAGGATTAACAAACAAAATAGAACAAAACAAGACAAAAAAATATTTTTATCAATAAAGAGTAAATACAAGAATTCTGAACTTCTGGTTTTAAAATTCACCATAACACAGGACTTTCAGCATTCCAGCTTGTTTCTATGTACACAGTTAAGATTGCCAAGTGATACCTTGGAGAGACAGAATTGATCTTTTCAAGTATTGGTAAGCAAGTCTAACAGCTCTTGAGTAGGACTATGTAAATGTCAATATAACAACCCTCGTGTCTTATTGCTGTGCTCACATTTTAATTTTTTACAGTTATGAGAAACTATACTCTTCCAGTATAATTTGCAAGCATAAGACATTTTTATGGAATAAGACTTCAGGTTCTCATTTAATAAACTAAGAATTTGATTTACTACCATGAAAACAACGTAGAACTTGAGAGTACTATTGTACTAGTTTCATGGAAGCGGGCTAATAATAATCAGAGGTAGACCAAATAAAAAAGTGGTATCTCCAACTCAATTTAAGTTTAAGGGAAATTTTAATTCCCTTCCTTTAAATTACTTTCACCAGTTTTATAAGATTTTAAATTAATTAGCATCTTCATCCTAGAGCAACCCCTTTCCCTCAATTCAAAACTCTTTTCAACCTAATACCCAATTAAAAAATTTCTTTAATTCTAGAGAGCTGCCATAGAATCCTTAAAGATTCTGTGATTTTAAAAACTTGTTTTATACTTTTTAATATTCCATTGATACGGTCTATATTAATGTGATAAATATATTAAAAATAAAATTGAGTTCACTTCCTTTTGTGAAAGAAAGTAAGATACTGAGTGCACTATTGATCACTACAGAATGAAAGCAATAGTTTATGAAAATCCCTGTTGGTCGGCTGGCTGGCTCCATTCATATTTTATATTAGGAAAAAGCTTTTCTCCCTTGTTGTCTACAGCCATCTACACAGCAACAGGATTCTGTCTCACAGGGCCCACGCTTCTGCCTGGGACGTGGTGCTGACGACCAAGACAGTAAGCTTAAAACCCATGGTCCACCTGTACTCCCCACGAGTATCAAATGTTCCTCCTTGCCCTTTGGTATGTGTGCTATTTAAAACACTACTCCATGGACCCTGATCTCTGAGGTCCTTACTGATTCCAAGACTCTATGATTCCATGAGAATATGAGAGCAAAAGAACGACAAGTGGCTCGTGCCATCGTCCAGAGGAAGCGGTCTCCTATCACACTGGGTATTCAAGGTCGAAGGCCCTCTCCGAAGACGGCTCTGTCTCTACAGTACCAATATGAGCCAGGGTCAGTCTATTCCCCAAAAGCTCAAGAAGATATGAGATGATCCCACATTTTATAAAAGTTAAAATTATACACATAGGCGAGAAACTGGGAGGAAATAAAACAAAATATTTATTGTGGCTATCTCTAGGTAGCAGAAAGATCATAAGTGATTTTAAATGTTTATATATTCCCAAATTCTTATAACAAGCCTATAAAAACTTTTACAAACTTTATTGATTTGAGAGAGAGAGAGAGAGAGGGAGAGATTGGTTTGTTGTTCTACTTATTTATGCATTCACTGGTTGATTCTTGCATCTGCCCTGGCTGGGGCTAGAACCTGCAACCTTGATATATTGGGATGATGCTTTAACCAGCTCAGCTACCTGGCCAGGGCCTATGTAATTTTTTAATTAGAAAAAGTAACACATGATTGTATATATCTAATAAATATGACTAGAATACATAAATATAAAATTAACAATATTTAATTGCATGGAAATTCTGATTTTCCCTAGGACTGAACCAGGAAGAAGCAAAACTCTTTCCTTACCGCCCCAGGACTACCCATGGCACATAAAAACGAGTTTAGTTCATCACTGAGCTATGAGTTTCTCCCGACACGGTTCCAGAACAAAGTAGTGCTCACCTGGGTTATTCTTGGGAAGGCCATAGGTTCTCAGGGGCACGAGACCAGAGCTGCAGGTGCTGGAAACTGAGTGCGCTCTAGATTGATCTCAGCCCGCTCAGTGTTGTAGCAAACGATGTTCTCTTCCCTTACATTTGCTCCTATGGCCTGCTGCCCTTGACCGGGGCCTTTCCCACTTTCTCATTGTGCAGAGTGAATACCACACGAGAGAAAGGTCAGGTGCTTTCTATACAGGCAGCACTCAATACTCTCTGAAGGAGGGACGGACAAACAGTATTTGATGATAATGATATTTAGTGCGTTGACATAATTGCTATAGGGGGCCATGTTAGCAGATGTTTACTCTGAACAGTGCAGTGAGAAGAGGAAATGCTGTTGGGTGTGGGTTTGCTTCAGCATTCATTCTGTTCTTTTACATGCATAGGGGTTACTAAGGCCATTCCTTCATAAGAATGACAGTCAACCAATTATATAACCACAGTAGACGCTACATTTGAAATGTGTGCTCACCAGCTCATCGCTATTTAAACGTTCAGAATGAAGCCTTTCCCTGCCGCAGGCGCTGCAGTCCATGGCAATTAAATGAGCACAGTTTCTTGACAGCCTTTTCCTGCTTTGGCTATTCTCCAAGCATGCCCTTGCCTTGGCACTGTACTTTTTCAGATTCAGAATGCAGAGGATTGCTTTGGCTTAAACCTTCCATTTCCAATTTTCCACCCAG